TGGTTCATTTTAATTGCAATAGCTTGTAGGATAGCTGTTGTAACAAATTACTCAAATCAGCTTTGAAAATCGCTTTTGTTTACTTTAACTGGAGATAACTTATGAAGAATCCATTTTATTTTCAAATAATAAGCTTATATTACTCTGGTTTAGAAAAAATATTTTCTGAATTACAGAAAATCTGTTTCTGGATAGTGGTTTATCATTCTATCAAGTAAAAATAAGATGTTAAGGATCATGTACAGAAATTAATAAAGAAATGTTAAATTTATAAAACAGATTACAAGTACAAAGAGCAGTTACAGGATGATAAATTGAATACGCAATTGAGTGGGAATATTCTACTGTAGGAACACTCAGGCATATCCGGTACTACAGCATTTTACAGTGGTGGTTTAAATTCAAACTGCTTGAGGATGTGAAGCTATTCAAGACCATCCAAAGGAGGGGTACAAAGATGGGGAAGGGCCTTGAGGAGCAGCTGAGGTCACTTGGTCTGTTCAGCCTGGAGGAGACTGAGGGGAGACCTCATAGCGCTCTACAGCTTTCTCATGAGGGGAAGACAAGGGGCAGGCACTGATCTCTTCTGTCCTGTGACAGAATCCAAGGGAATGGCCTGAAGCTGTGTCAGGAAAGGTATGGGTTGGATATTGGGAAAATGTTTTTCACCCAGAGGTTGTTTGGGCATTGGAACAGGCTCCCCAGGGAAGTGGTCGCAGCACCAAGGCTGAGTGTTCCAGGAGTGTTTGGACAGTGTTCTCTGGCACATGGTGTGATCTTGGGGCTGTCCTGTGCAGGACCAGGAGTTAGACTTGATGATCCTTCTGGGTCCTTTCCAAGTCAGGATGTTCTGTGGTTCAGCAAGAAGCTGCTTCTTTCCCAAATGCAAAGACTTTAAAATTATAAACTTAAAGTATTTGCTGCTGTGTTGTTGTTCATGTGAACCCTTTGAATTTCTGTCCCTCAGTGATTTCTGACTTTATGAAGGAAAAAAAATAAGGCAAACAACAGCATAAAAGTAGCTTAGTAAATAAGACAACACTTCAGTACCTACCCAAGAATGAAAACTTTGTCTTGGCTTTTTTTCCCTGTTATAGGAGATTTTGCTGTCCTCCTAAAAGCTGGTATGACTGTCAAGCAAGCTGTGCTTTACAACGCTCTGTCAGCTATGCTGGCCTACCTTGGGATGGCCACTGGGATCCTCATTGGTCATTATGCAGACAACGTTTCAATGTGGATATTTGCACTTACTGCTGGCTTGTTCATGTATGTGGCTCTTGTGGATATGGTAAGTGCCTGGACCTGTTTGAATTTTGTGTAACACAGCTTAAGAATTAATGATTTGAAGCAGCTGTTTCTTTTGAAGGTATTTAACACCTCCTTGTTTGTTTAGGTACCTGAAATGCTCCACAACGATGCCAGTGACCATGGATGTAGCCGGTGGGGATACTTCCTGTTACAGAATGCTGGCATTCTCCTGGGATTTGGGATAATGCTGCTTATCTCAGTATTTGAACATAAGATTGTATTCAGCATAAACTTGTAATCCTGGTTGCCAGGAAGACACCTTGGTGTTAAATTATAAGTGGTAGAGGTTTTTTCTACGAATTTCCTTATTGGAAAGGTACATTTGATATAGACTAGATATTTTTGTTGGTGTGCTTTGTTGTTGTGTACTTCCCTCCCTTCTTGCCTGATAGAAAGGAATACTGTAAAGTTTGGGGTTTGTTTGAGTTTTGTTTGTTTGTTTTTAATTGTATTTTTTTTACTTGGGATTTAGCATTGCTTATGGTACTTGGAAAGTGGTACTTAGTAAAACATGGCCAAACCTATATTATTTGTATTGTTTGGGGGGTAGGTTGTTTTTTTTTACTGAATTTATTTACTGTATGTAATTATACGTGATGTTTTTTACTTCATTGGTTTTGCTGGTTTACAGAAGTAAAACAACAGTGGTTTTTATTTTAGCACAGTTAAAATCAGTGGATACAAAGCACAGTGAGCAAAGTAAAACAAGGACAAGACATGTAATGGTTAGCATGTATTTATTGGTAAAAACTCATCTCTTCTGCATCCACCTGGTTTATACAGAAAGGCAGATAAGTCCATTCCATCTTTTGTGGTGGTGCTGGTTCTCTCAGTAGCTTGTGGATTCCTATGTCATATTCCAGTTGGTTTCTACTGCAAACAAATTGATGTAAAACCATATCCTAAGTGTTTACATCAAATGTTTGACTTGTTTCATCCATTCTGATATGAGTTGCTCTTCACTGGTTTCTCAATTCGGCAACAAAAGTCCAGCTTTTAAATTGCCAAAGCTTTAAGATATGTGAATCCCATCAAAAAGAGTTTAAAAGCAGTGCTGTATCCCATTTAGGCTGCCTGAAGTGACAAAGGTGTATTAAAGCCTGTTTGATTTCAAGGGGGAGGAGTGCTACAGGCTGAGATAAACAGTCATTTCCTACAAAAGCTTCCTGAAGTAAAGTGTTGATTTACTTTAGGAAAATGAGCTGAGTGGGAGAGCTGCCTACCTCTAGTTCAGTGTGATTGCACACAAACCTGTGCTATGTTTTTTTGCAAGAACTAAAGCTGAGAAATCCAAAATAAGAAAATTTCTTTGGTAGCATATCTAGAGAAGCAAGGTGTTAAAGATAATAAGTGACTGTAGTTTAAGCCTACAGTCTTAATATGTTTAACCACCCTGAATGTCACTGAAGGAAGAAGGTTGAAAAAAACAATAGCAAAATAAATCTGCATTTGCAGGGAAGGTGAACGCGTCAAAGTTCTTTAATGATGAATAAATAACAGAATTATGCTATCTTACTAGCTAGCTTAAAAAACCCCAGAAATAAAACAGTTAGCACCTATTTCTGATCCACTGCCTCAAATCATCAGCTGAATAAAAAGCTTGAACAACAAGATAAATGTTTGATAAAACCATGTATGACACACTAAAACAGTTTGTTGGTCTGTCATACAGTGGAAGCCAGGAACCATTCCATCACCTCAGAAATAGATGTTTTCAATTAATTGAGAGATTTGAGGGGTTTTTAGGAGGTGGGCAATGGGCGCCACGTGAGTTTTTGCACCCAGTGGACTTAGCTTCTCTTCCTTCAGCCTTTCCTCAGGTTAGCAAGATTGATACTTACTTTTCTGCTCACAGTGATGAAACCCTGTTCTGTGCCTCCTTTGAAGCCAGGGTTGAGAAAGGTGTACTTCCTTCAGCTCTTCTAATGCACCCCTGTGTCCTAGCAGGCTTTTTAGGGCTTGGGCATGGTGTTCACCTGTGGTGTGGGAAAACTCCGTAAATACTGTGCACTTCAGCCTGTGGGGCTTCCACCTTCTGCACTGCAATCCTGGTTGCTACAGAAATCTGGCATCTCCGTAGTTCTGGGGGATTTCAGACATGGATGAGCTCAGTTTGCTTTGAATTTTTCACTGCTGGTTTCTGTTAGCCTACAGCCATACTAGCTGCCGGTTCAGCTGGATTTCTCTTTTCTGGATATGACACAGGAAGTGGGCAGGTAGCCTGCTGTTGTTCAGGAGATTTTAAGATTAATGACTAAATAATGGAAATAAATCTACAAATTTCAGTTTTCCAGTGGGTTCTTGGCTGGCTTTTGATTATTAAAATATCCACATATCAAAACCCATTGCTAATTTAGGAGTAAAAAAAGAGAATTGCCTTTAGAGCAGAAATGTCTCTATCCTGTACACAAACATTGCATCCATTCAGTGCTCTTTGATCATTGATGGAGAAATGTCCATGACAGGCAGCTGTCCGAACTGATAACTGAGAAGGCTACAGACTAAAACTTGCTGTAGTTATTTATCAGCAGGATGACAAAATGTTGGTTGTTCTGTTTGTTTTGAGCTGGTTTGTTTTGTTGTTTATCGTTGTCAGCCTTACAAAGTAGAATCTGCATCTGTTGCAATGTACTCATGTTGGAAATACTCAAGGCTTGGCAAACTGGTGGGGCAGTGTCTCTAAGCAGCCCTTTATTTTTATGTGCATATTTTTCTGCAGCAGTTTTTAATGTGCCTGGCTACTCTGGATAATAAATGTGTCTGCTTTGTGCATCCATCTGTAGCTTAGTAATGGTACAGCCCGTAATTTTTATGCTGTTACAGCTGCCTTTAGTGCCTGTGCTAGGTGCAGGTAAACAGAATAGGCAAAAATGCTGGAATCCGTTTTGGTTTGGTTTATTTCTGTAACATATTCTAATGGTTTTGGCCTGTGTTTGTACAGAAGTGGTTTCAATTTTGGGCAGCAGGAGTTCAGAGCAAAGGTGTGGAAGTTCTCAAGTTCTCCCCTGCCTGGCCTGTGGGGATCAGGTGCTGGTACGGTTTCTCTCATTCTTTGTCCCTAAATGTGATCCCATGTGTGCTGTGGGAATGCAACTCCTTTATGTTTATATAAAACACAGCCCAGGCTGTGAATTCAAAGGCTGAAATAGAATCACAGAGGCTCTCCTGCTGCCTGAACTGAGACACACGTGCAGTTAAAATCTCTATGGAAAAACTGGGTTGTTCTATTTTCCACAAACAGAAAACAGTTGTTTTAATAGAATGTGGGTTGTTTTTCTTTGTCTGGTTGTTTTTTTTAAATTTAAAGTACGTTTTTGGTGTGTGTGTGTGTATATATGGTCACTGTAGCTGTTACTGTATTGCTGTGTGCTAGAGAAAATAAACCACTGAACCAAACCACAGGCGTCTGAGCATTTTTCTTAGTGATGCAGCTACGGCAAAAGATGTTTAGAGCCTTGAGAAAAAAAAAACCGGTAGCAAAACTGAAGGTTTGGCAAAGTGGTGGGGCAGTGCCTCTAAGCAGCCCTTTGTTTTTATGTGTATATATTTCGGCAGCAATTTTTAACGTGCCTGCCTACCCTGGATAATGGATGCAAGGGTTTCCTCAGACTTTCCCGTGCCGGGGCGGGGAGAGGGCCGGGCTGGGGCTGCCGGGGCCGCCTCCTGCCGTCATCGCGCTGCGCCGGCGGGCCGGGCCGGGCCGGGCATGGCTGAGGGGGCGGCGGGGCCGGGCGGCGCCGAGCGCTACTTCACCCGCTGGTACAAGCCAGGTACCGCCGGGGCCGGGCCGGGCCGGGCAGGGCCGGGGGGCGGCGGGGCCCTGACTCCTCTTTGTGCCCTTCTTGCAGACGTGAAGGGGCGGCCGTGCGAGGACTTCTGCGTGCTGCAGCACTCCAACAGGCGAGTGGCCGGCGGGGCTCCGGTGCCCGGGGAGCCTCGGGCTGCGGCCTCGGGCTGCGCCCGGAGGGAGCGGCGGTGGCTGCGGCAGCCGGGACGCAGCACCGGGCGAGCCTGCGCTGTCCGGGAAGGTGGGAGGAGGGCAGAGTGACAAATCGGCCTCTCCCCATCCTTTAATTGCTCCAGTGAGAAACAGAGGCTTGGCCTCTTTCCCCCTGACGGCCCCCTACTGCCCCTCGTGCTGCTCAGCAGGGCCCGTGGTGCTGCCCTCGCTCCCTCTCCTGCTGAAAGGGCCCATACACCGGCCCTAGGGATGTTCATGGAAAGACTGGACTTGGCACTCAGTGCCGTGCTCTAGTTGACACAGTGGTGGTCGGTCATAGGCTGGAGTCGATCTGAGGTCTTTTCTAACCTAATTGATTCTGTGATCATCAGTAGCAGAAGAGAAACGTTCCAAAAGGCCTTTGTGAAACGACATTTTGAAGGAGTCTCTTTAACTTGATTTAGAAGTCCTTCCATTTGAACAAACATTTAGCTTTTTCTAGATAAAACCTAATTACTTTTCCATGCACATGTACTAATGGATGGTGAAGGCAAGATATGAAAGTGTCTTACTTGTGCTTGGATGTAGCTGGATATCCAGTTATATGGAGTAAATCAACCTGTACCTGATGTGGAGTCTCCTTCCATACCTTACCTCCCCCTGCTGCAGCCTCTTAGGGCATCAGGAGCATTTCTGGGGTGCTCAGTCCCAGAGGGAAGAACATAATCTGCTATCCACACAAAAACTGCCAGGGCCAGTGGCTCATGGGTTGAGGGAAGGTGAGGCAGCATTTGCATTCCTGGTAAGTTGCCTGCTCTAGAAATTCAGAATAAAAGGAAGAGTATGCTTGGCACAGGGCAGAACCATCACCTTGCTGCAGCCTTTGTAGTTGGAGCTTCTCTGTGGGTGTTTCCTTTCTCCATTCTTTCAAAAGGGAAACCAGAGTACCTTCAAATAACAGGTGACAGTAACAGCAAGGAAGGACACCCTTCCATTTGTACTGAATACTGAATATAAGGTTACTAATCTCAGGTGTCTGATATAAACAAGTTTAAATGCCACTGATCTGTTCAATTGTCCATGAAGACTGTTCTCCTGCTTTGAATTCTGAAATATCAGGACCCTTGGATTCCACAGCAGCTTAGCCAGATGTTCTGTAAAGTAATTGACCATTATTATGTATGGAGCTGTGGCTCAGTTTGATGTTTCTATGCAATGTGAAGTTGTTTCTTGCTTTTTTGTTTTGCGAGGTCTCAGCTCCATCAGGTGACAGCTCAAAGATAATTTGTCATCTTCCCCTTAGAAGGCGGCTGGGGTGAAGGGAGGTGGCTTTACTGCTAGAACATGCTGGATGCATTTACCAGGATCCAGCTCCCTCTTGTGGGAGCTGTGCAGCCACAACTCCACAGGAGTAGGGGGAGATGGATGCAGCATCCACAGGGAGAGATCTGGTTCTGTGCCCTGGTTTTCTCTGCAGTCACTCTTGTGTTGATTCTGGTGCTTGCTGTAGGTTTTATACTCTCAAACAGAATAGCTTCCCCTCCCTTCAGTTACTGGCAAGTGATGCTTGTGCATCAAGCATGGTTCTAGGCCAGGCAGGCTTGGTCTCTTCAGCTGGGCTCATCTCAAACTGTGCAGTGTCATGGTCAGAAATAACCGTCCATTAGAAAAAATGCAGCAAGTTAACTAAGGCCCAGATCACCGAAGGATTCCTCAGCTGTTCACTGCACAGGGCCTTTAGCTGTTGAGAAACACTCCTTTGTGTGACATTTTGTGACAAAAGTACCCCATGCTTTACTTATCTTAACCTTAGCGTCTACTTCAGCTGCTGGCTGAAATGAACCAGCCATGCTCTCATGGGGTGCAACAGATAGAACAGCACTGGCTTATTTACAAGCAGTGGTTTTCTTTCAGTAAGAAGTGTAGGGCTTTTGACAGTCCAGTCTGGTATCTCAAAATGAAGCATTTTCCATGGGAGTGGCTTTAGGTCAGAATGCCATTTTCATTCAGTTTGGCACAGCAGGTGTCAAACAAGATAGGCAGAGGAGGTTGTGGGATTTGCTTAGAGCACAAAGGAGTGGCTTCTTAAAATTACAGTGGAATAATTATATTCTTTTTTTTTTTTTGCAGAATTTGTGTCATCACCTTGGCAGAAGCCCACCCTCTTCTTCAAAGTGGGAAAACAATTAAAAACATTAATTACCAAATCAGTGCAAACTGTAGCAGACTTCAGAATAAGGTCTCTGGGAAGTCAAAAAGGGTATGGCTTTTTGATTTCCTTAGTTTTCATTTTAATCTCTCACACTGCCTGAGATTTTTCTGTCCTTTCTTGGAGAGAAACCCAGCAGGTTACTTCTGTATTTCACTTAAAACCAGCCCCTCTGCACTTGAAGAATTTAGATTTCCTCAAGATGTGCTTGTCTGCTTGTCCCAGCCAGGGTCTTGCAGTGCTCCTATACAGCACTGGTGGTTTCCAGTGTTGCTCAAGCACACTTGCTTCTAGCAGTTTTTTTGGTAGTGTACAGAGGGACATAAACATCCCTGAAATAATAAAAGTTTATTTCCAAGAAGATGCGAAGGATTTGGAAACTAGAGAGTAGATGGGGCAGTTCAGTGTAGTGGGTTTTTGAAGGTGCATTTGAACTTGCTTATACTGAAATCCATGGTGCTGTTCCTCTCCTCTCTCCCCTGACTCATCAAAATACAAGATTGCTAGTCTGCAAGAAACTCAATTATGACTAAATCTGTAGGCTTGTAACAAGCTTCTGTTTGATTTGAGCACATAACTAAGTTGGCATCTTCCCTTCTGTAGGGAAGCACAGTTCTGGAACTTGGAATGATCTGTAACTATCACACATCCTTCCTTTTTGTTGTTGATGGTAATACTTTTACAAGTCCCGTGTAATTAAAACCCCAGACATGTTTGTTTGTTTGTTTTCCAAATGCAGGGAGCTCAGTTTTTAACAGAACTTGCCCCTCTGTGCAGGATATCTTCATCAGATGGAGAGGAATACACCATTTACAGGTAAGATTTTTCCCATTTTTTCCCTACCTTGCCATACCCCCACATCTACAGAATCTAAATACTTTTGCAGTTGCATACGAGGGCGGCTGATTGAGGTGAATGAGAACATCCTTAGCAATCCTGCTCTTCTGCAAGAAAAGGTAAGACACTTTCTTGTGCTTTTATTTTTCAGATTTTATTTCACTGCTAACTTCAGTCTCACTTTTTAGCCATCAACTGAGGGGTACATTGCAGTGGTTTTACCCAAATTTGAAGAAAGCAAGAGTATAACTCAGGGACTTCTGACGCAGAAGGAGTACGAGGAAGTTTTGATGAAACGCCGCAGTTCTGCTTCATGAAATCAACTGTACACTTCCCATCTGTGTTTGATACTGAATAAGTGACTTTTATTGTACACTGTGAGTTTTATAGTATGGAAAAGGCCCAGTGCCAGTTTTTAAAAGGAACTAAACTCCTTGATTTGTAAAAGAATAAACCAGTTAAAATAGTTTGTATATTAAAATTTCTGTAAAAATTTGACGTAAAGTGTTTTTTTTTCTCTGAATTCTAACACTACAGGTTTTTGAATAAGCTCAGAATGACATGTTGGAGATTATTTATGTCCCACAATCAGCTTTGCTTCTGCTTAATGCAAGCATAGTACATACAGAAAAATCATAGTATTTAGCTATCATGTAATTTAGCTAAACTAATACAATATGGAGTTTGACACAGGTGAATGGAAAACAAAAATGCAACAAAAGTCTGTGTACAAAGAGCAGATAAATTTTAAAATACATATTTCATACCAAGTTGTATTTTCATGGTATCCTGAAGTCAAATAATGCCCTTTGTACAGAATTTTGTAATAATCACTATCTATTTTCTTCAATTTTACATGGCATAATGTCAAGTCTGCATAATACTTTAGTGGTTCTACAGGCAACTCAAATTCTGCTCAGAAAGTTTTAATAAAAAAGCAACAACTGCCATCTACAAATAGGGTAAAAGAAAAAGGGCTTAAGTTGAAACTATTAATCACTTAGAAATACGTTTTTTGTGGAGATAAATCTTGTAAAGATGAAAATTCAGAGGTGAATCGATTGAAAGAGGTTTTTTTTTCCTAAGACTACTTAATTGCAGGTATAACTTGTAACTAAGGTAACATTTCAGTGCTTCAGGCCACAGCCTTTCAGACTATATTCCTGATTCTGCTTTATCAAATACACAGACTGAAATAGGTCAGAGATGAGCTTACAGACTTCAACAGTAGTGGTTACATGTAGCATATGCAGCACAGGGGTCTTTATGTAAAATGTCTATTTAGCAGCATCTTTGGGTTGACACATCCATTAAGACATTCAGAAGCATTAATTACAATATCAGTATCAACAGCAAGCATAGGAAAGGCATTCACATTATAAAAATACAGAATATTTAGACTAGCTTGTGTTTTAATGGCTAAGTAATGGGACATCTATTAGATGTGACAAAGATCAACAGTTTTATATCAAATTAACCTGGCTTGACTTTCCACAAATGAAAGCAGTATTGAAACTTCAGCAGGTGTTATTTTCAAATGGGAATTCCTGCATTTCTCAGTGCTATGATTACTTGCTCTCTAAAAATGTCATGTTTGTTACATGATTTTCTAAAGACTTGATGCCAAATGTCTCCACTCTTCTTTCTGGAGTACGTGCATTTGTACCAGTTCGTATTCTGTCTTCTTTCCATGGTGGAGCAGGCTTAAGACAACCATTTCCCGCTTTATTCTGTGTATGTATATAAGAAAGATTTCTTAAAAACAACCAACCAACCCAAGCAAGCAAACCTCAAAAGTTTTAAGTAGTGCAGATTAAGCTAGTACTCACCTTTCTCAGTAATTTGCAGCAAAGTGGAAGAAGTTGACATAAGAGAGTCATCACATTCCTTGTTTTCAGAATGCATGCATCAACCTAAACAAGACAATTAATGAGTAATGCCTATTACTCAATACTTGTGTTAGGCAGTTGTTTTTGGCATGAGATGATCTGTTTTGAACTGGGTTAAGTAATACTTTTCCTGTTAAAATATCTCCTAATCAAATGGGTTTGCCTACTTTTTTTTAAACTTCTCTGTATGGTACATGTAAAACAAGAGCATCCCTTCTGTTAAGCACAACTTGAGCAGACACATCCCAAGTGGATGAACTACTAATAATATTATATTAAACAGTAACAGAAGTCTCTTGGAAAGGAGCTCTTAAGATCTAAGCATGAATCATCACAATTCTTCATGGTTTTCCTTTTGTCAGCATGATTTAGAGAGCCAAGCATCATTTAAGCCTTAGCTCGATGTTACACTAAAAGTTATCTTAAATCTTAACACTCAGCACAGGTCACAAGTCTGAGCCCTCAGACATTAATTTGAGAACCTGTTACTGCTATGTACTGGTACATCACTGTATAAACAGACTGGAGTTCCCATTTAATTCAGAGGGTGTAAAACAAACCATGCAGTAGCCCCAAGGTGCTCAGTTTGGTTCTGAGAGGCTTGCATGCTTCAGCCAGTTTCACACCTGCTGTAAAACTGAAACACCTTTTCCACAGCCATGTGCAAACAAACATCCAGCTGCATGGAAATGGTCTTGCTCAAATTGATTGCTGCTGGCTCAGGGATACTGATCCCCTCTGATCTTTGCAGATCTACTTCTTGTGTTAACAGTGATGAAACTTTCACTGTCTATGTAGTTATTTATAGCAAATATGAATATCAGAAAAAAACCTGAGCAGTCCAGGGTAGATGCTGCCTACTGAGAATCAAATGTGTTTCAGTAGTGGAGTTGAGGTTTGGAATTTGTTACATTCATGTTAAGCATCAGTAACAGTAATAACAGTAATTATTACAGTGGCAGAAATACATATTACCTTCATTCAAATTTTGATCCCTGAAGTCCATACTGAGGTACACCTAATTACAGTTCCTGTTTATCTGAATGGCATTCTAGTGGATTACAGTACTACTGCAACCTAATTCCATATTTTAACTGGAGCATAAATTAGTAAAATACTTTATTTCAAAGCAAGTTAAGTGTTACTTTGAGAAATATATATAGTTTTTTACTGTACCTTTGTAAATGTAGCACTTTTACCCTGAGCAGAAGCTTTAGCTGTTGCCTGGAGCTGCTTGCACATAGTGATGAGTTTTTCAGCCTCCAACAGAAGCAAAGGCTTGTCATCATCACGTACCTGGTATGTTGTCCAGGAAGACAAAATAACTCTGTGTTAAAGACTCCAGCATCAAGTTAAGGGAGAAGATTAAGCACAAGCAACTTCTAAGCAGTATCACTGATGTAATAAAATACATCACCTGATCAGAAAGAGCATGAAGAGCTGAGGCAAGCTTTGTGCCCTCTGTGGCAAAAATCTGAAAGGAGGAGAAAGCACGTAACAAAATGAATCACAACAGAAGGTAAGGCTTTTTCCCTCCTGGTTTAATAGTGTGCTTTTAAGTAAAAAGGTAGCAGGAAATACTTGTAATAATTGTATACATCTACAGTACACAAGTTAGCAGTTTGCAGTGACTTCTGAAATAACAACTACACAGCTAACTGCCATCCTCACAGATAAGCAGAGTTTAAAGGTTATCCCTTTACATATAACAAAACCCCCAATTTCCAATTATTTTTTGCATGTGGCAGCTCACAAATGTTTTGTGATGACACCTGGCCTCTTTGTTTATTGTCCTTTCAAAGGTAACAAGTCTGTTACACACAGGTATGCATTCTGGAAATAGCATTTCACATCCCTTCATTTGGGCCCTTCTGTTTGCATTGTGCAAGTTTTTACATCTTTCTTTCCCATGAAAATCCTGCTGTTCAGACTAGGATTTAGTATCTGTTAACACTACCAGGGACTGAGCTGAGTGACACAACAAATATTACAGATGTACTGAAGTCCACTCTATTTGCCATAATGCCAGTTTGCTATCCCTCCTCCTAGCTGGAATCTATCAGTGTAATGATCCTGTCTGAAGCTATTACTGGAACACTGGAAGCTCACTTGCAGAATATGTATCAGAGTTAGGCTGCTCAAAGTCTACAACTGCCAGTCAATTCATGGTACACTGTACTTATGTGTAAGGAATCAGACACTGAAGTTCCTGTTTGGCTTCACTCAGAGTGTCTACGTCCTATTTTGTTAAAAATACATTACCTCTGCCTGATGAAATAAATCTTGAGTAGTTTTCAGAAGTCCTTCTCCTCTGTGAGAAATAACAAAAGCAGAAGACATGCCATTTACAGACTGCAGATTATATTGCCTACTACTTACAAAAAATAGTCTCACCACTGAACATCTTACAGTTCACACCAGTGAACTGTAAATATCAGTCTTTTAGAAGATACTAGACACAACTACCTACAAGAACTGACTTAAATATATTATACAAACACCTCAGTAGCTACAGCACTGTTGGGGAATTAACAATGGCTCAGTTCTCATAAGCTGAACAAGACTAGAAATCCACATCTCTGGCATAATGAGTATTACTGGACTAGCAGGTAACAAAAAAGAAATCTCAGCTCTGGTAAAAAAACCGCAAGCAAACCTAAATTCTTCAAGTAAGAAAGCTGACATTGCACAGGCAAGTTTCAGATAAACACTTTTCAGTACAAGGATCAGTAATTCTCATCTACAGTTCTATCTCATCTACAGGTATATACTTGTGCTTTAATTCCCTTAATTTTTAAAGTATTTATGAACATGATTCTTAAAATGATTTCCATACCCAAGAGACATTTAAATAGATGCCCTCCAACGAAACAGATGTTAAGCCCTTTAAAAATAAAGTGGTGTTTAAAATTAGGGGTTTTTTAAACAGTTCAGAAATTTACAAAAGTTTATGAAGTCTACAGACAGAATCAAATTCCTTTCTAAAACAGTCCCAATTATTATGCTCTGAAAATGAAAATTTGTTCTTTCTTATAAACACTGTTAATGCTCTTTTTCCCACCAAAATTTGCCATGTGTACTCTAATTACCTGGTAAATAAATACATGGAGTAGGCCATACTTGACATGCCTTGTCCATGCTGCACAATCTCATTCTCCTGGTCCTCCCATTTCTCTGTCTCAGAATCCACATCAGATGTGAGCAGATGCAATTCTAATCCAAGCTTTGCAATTTTCGCCTGTTCCTGTAAATGGCAAGCATATTTATGGCACTTAAAAACACATTGTTCAGACAAGATAAAAATATGAAAGGAGTTTTTTTACCAAAATGATGCCATCTTACCTCAGAATCTAGTTTGACTGGCTTTAATGCTTTCAGATTTGCATTATGCTTCTGTTTCAAACAAAAAATAATATTTTTAAATAAAAGGAATTGGTAATAATTTTACTTGCAAATCTTAAAGAGGTAGCTCTATATTCAGAGAAAGACTTTGCAGGAGAGTTCCAGAGGTTCAAACAAACTTCTCAGCAGAAACTGAGAACCTGTACTGATCTGTCTGTCCTGAAATGGCAGGTGCAGATGCCCTGAAATTGCAAGGAAAAGACCTCATCTACAGTTCTCAGGCTCCACTTCCTAATGCAGTACAGTCTCTTCCCTTTACCCTGTAAATCCTCAATAATACTCAGGACTAAACAGTCTTAAGCAAGTACTCCTGCACTGATTTTTCTATCACTGATGGTACTGATATAACAGGGATGCTGATTTGGGTAATAGCAAGCTGACATAGGCTACCACCCATATGAATGCTGCTGTGAGGAGGCAGCCCATTATTCTGTGTCACTCTGGAGAAGCAGCTGTAAGCAAATACTGACACTGATCTTTTCATGGGTTTCCTTCTTTTTTTTTAAGTCATGAACTATTCAAAATATAAGTCTGGCTGCAAGCCAAATATTAGCTCATAATTATTGGTACTGATGTGAGCAGACTACCTGGTAAGGCAGGGCTTGCCAACTGCATGACACACTTAGGCAGTAATTCATAATTTATTTCGTAATTATTTGCTGGTTTTGGCTTTAATTTCATGTGCTGGTGCTGTTACTGTGCAAAGACAGCAAAATCATCTGACGTGGGAGGCACAGTCCAGAAACCACTGGACTGCAGAGGAGTAGCACAAAATTGGTGTCATGACTTGGAGAGGTGTGAGGCACAGGAGAAAGCTGGATAATCTCAGTGCTCAGCTGAGAGCCTTGTCTGAGATTCTGAAAAACTCTGACGAAAACCTGCTGCTATTCATTCGTGGGAGTACTTGGACAAATTAGGTTCAGTAATGCGTGCAGGAAAAAAAACAACAAACCAGGAAACAACACTGTTCATTGTGAACAGCATCAGAAATGAGATTCTAGTCCCATTTCCATTTCTCGCTTCAAGAATCTGAGCAAAAGTAATCATACTGAGGTTCCTAGTGCAATTTAGTGCACAGTTTAACTTTCTGCCATTTCTCTTTTCCATCCAAAAATGTTTAAATATTTGTGAAATATTAAATATGAAATATTAAATGTGAATCTTATGAATGTCTACCCAGATTAGACACTGCAATTCTGCCTATGTATTAGAAATGCTGATCTCATATCGAAACATTTAGCACAAAGGACTGTACTCCAAACTGTGATTTGACTATACTACATGCCAGAAATGCAATTTCAGAAATACTGTTTTCAAGGCAGTGTCTTAAAAGAAGAAAGGAAGACAAAACCAAACTAGATTTGTTTGTAAACACGAATTTTGGTCTAGAAAGTATGGCAAATATTTAAGCTGCAGAGTCATGGAAGGGTATTCAAGAAAACCAGCACTGGTTACAGCAAATAAGGTTTTCAATTCACAAATAACTAAAGGAAGCTCAATGTTTTTGCAGTTTTCTCCACTCTAGTGTTCCCTTGCATTATTTTAATAGTACTAATAGTATTAAAAGTCAGATCAGTAGATACGTTATTCTGCTTTTAAAACATGATTCAACACTTTAAACTATAGAGAAAAAATATGCATTAAGTACACACATGAATCATCACTGCTGCTCTGGTCCTCATCTACAGCATGGTCTAGGGTGCCACTCATTACCAGCAAACAGCAGAGTGGCAATTAAACAGATGTAACAAAATATGTGATCTAATTAGATTGGCAGGAACAGTGTGGCCTCTGTGCAGGGACAGCGTGGGCGTCAGCCAGGCACAGCAGATCTGTGGTGGCAGTGAGGGGAGGAGAGGCTCAGCTGAGAGGAACAACACCGGGAACAGAGGCAATTCCAAAGCTCAGAGCACCAGCTAGGCAAAGAAATCACTCTGTGAAGAAACTCTGGTGTCCTGTGGATGCCATCTACCTTCCCTGTCTACTTTCAAACTGCGCATTTGTAACTCCCCACAATGTTAAGTATCTTGCAAAACCCAAAAAGAAGGCAGAAACCTTTCAAACAATGCAAGCAGAACTGTTTAAATGCTGATCACAAAATTTTATTTAATATTTTTAAAAACATTTTAATCAATGGGACTCTGACTTCAAACATTTAATCTCTAAATTATGACATCCAAAAGCTATGTGTCTTAGTCAAACTGGTCAGGGAGAGAAACCCGATCCAAAGTTTCAGTACTTAGTTCCATAACTGTGAAATTCACCCATGCTCATGCAGCCTAACAATTTAAATCCACAGACTGGCTTTATAAAACTTTTAAAATAAATATTTGATTTATAAAGCTTTTATCTTTTCATTAAGAGTCAGAAGTTGTGTTGTGTCTGAAGCTCTAAAATTGCACAACAGAAGACATGGAGACAGAGGACCATTTCAACCCCAAATTTCTCTACAAGTTAAGGAAAAAAAGCAGGGAGAGAAAGAAACAAGCTAGAGCTTACTGTATCTTTTGAGACCATTCTTTCCCTTTTTCCTGCTCATGGAAAGATTCAATTTACAGCAGGTGAATCAAATGACTGATTGCATGACACTATCAAGATTTAGGAGGCCTCCTAACACACAGATGCTCTCAGAAATAGTGTAATATCAAGTATAATCAGCTAAACATATTAAATTACCTCACACCTAAAAACTGGGTATTTGGTGTACCTTTTTTCTCTACATTAAACACTTAAGATCAAGGAAGGAAACAAGAACTCATTATTTAAAAAGGCTACAACAGGCTCGAACATGAACCCTTGTTACAAATAGGTTAACTCAGGCTACAATGTTAAGTCTTGGTAGTATGATTTATTTTTGTTTTAATTTTCAGTATATTGCAGCATATTCCTACTGTTTTAATAACAACAATGTACTTTTTAATTATACAGCATGAAAGTAGATTATGTGGTAAAAAAATTATTGAAAAGGAATTAAAGCTTATGTATAATCAAAGTGATTAAAGCACGTAACATCACTCATTACATTTGTCTTCAGTCTGCTTATTATTCACTTAATAAATTGACAAACTTTGATACTTTACTGTCAGCCATCCAGTCAGGATGCATGTTACCAAGATATTGTTAGGTCACCATCGAGTTGTGACAGGGAAAGAAATCAAACAGAGAACGGCAGATACAAAGTAACCACAACAAACCAAAAACCGACTTACCCCTGGTCTGGGCAGTGATAGGTAGACACGCTTCTCTCCTATGAAGAACACACAGGTTTATACCAAAATTTATATACAGATTTTAATCGGTGGGATCAAATGCCTTACTTCATCCTTCCTAAAACTGCAGTACTATAAAAGCAAATTACTTACCTGTAATTCCTCCTCTCTGAATACTGCAGAAGATCTCTGTCTCATGCTTTCAGAGACAGGCCAAGAGCTCTGTACTGCTCAGATTTTAGCAGCTGGCAATTAGGAAAGCTTCTCTGAACATTTCCCTCAGTAAATTTCTAGTCTCCTGCATGTATTTCACAAGGAAAGTAAAGCAACTCTCTCCATGACTCACTACATACACTCATTTTGTTGCAAAACACAGAACATAAATTTGCAGCTCCATGTTCGGCTTTTCTTGGCATGGGATGAATGGTCTGAAATTTGGAGTAGACAGTGCCACTAGTGAGAAACACATAGGCAGGTTTTCCTAAGTAATGCAAATAAAACTCTCATGTTGTACAATATGTATCCCATGTGTACTGTATTTTATGAAGAAGGAAGTTCTACAGCATTTTACACACTTATTGAATTGTTTCTTGTATTGCCAAGAGCCTACAATATTCCAAGTCTGAGCAAAATAAATTAAGAAAGAAAAAAAATTCCTTTTTGGGTGTTACCTAAAAGTTGATAAGACTTTATTTTCAAGAAGAAACACTGCCTGGGCTAACAGCCTAAGATTAGAGTTTCAATTACCAGAAGATATAATAGTCTACAAAGACTTGCATTCATTACAATAGATTCAGTTACTACACTTGCTAATTCCTCCTCTTGCATCAGCTCCTAGAGAAGTTCCATTCTGAGTCCTCAGAAGACAGTTCTTTTGTGCATTCAGGATTTTTTGAAAGCATGCCCTTTATCTCCTGACACAACAGGAAGATCAAAATCTCTGTATCTAGGCAACTGACTCCTACAATTTTAGGACGCCAACAAGTGTCCTTCAATCCTCTTGAAAAATAGGAAAAATGGAACCTTCCTTCCTAAGATCACTTTTTCCTTCCCCTGTGCAGTTTTGCAAAAGATGAATGAGCTAACAGGGCACAAGCTGCATAACCATTTTTTTTTTCAGATTGCAGTGTTATTCGGATACTAATTGCCCTAGCATGTATCCAAGCAAGACTTCTCCCCTAAAGACCAATACAAATTATGAGAAGTCATTTACAACATCCTATACATCAAAACATCAGCTAAAGGGCATGTAAGACATACCAAGAACAAAAGGGAACTTGCAATTTTAAATGCTGCAGCATAAAAGATCTCCTTGGAGCTATGTAAAAACATGTTGTGTCTTGTTAAAAAGTTCAAACACTGAAAGCTTTGACATAACAAATGGAATAAAAATGCTCACTGCAATGACACAGTACTTGCACACACAAGGCAGGCATTCAGAATTAATGGAAACCAAATGGAAAGTGGTGGCAAACAGAAGAAAATAAAAATTGCCTTTGCTCTTCTACTAATTCTCATTATTTACCTTATCAGGGTTTCATTGCTCACCCTGTTCAAAAAGAAGAAAGATCTAACTACTTATTTCTTGAACATTGTCAAAACCTCTAAGGATCACAAAATACACACACAAAAAACACACTTCACTGGACCCACAGAAACCAAGACCTTTCAAAGAAGCAGATCAACTCAGGTCAGAGAAAAATCGTACTTAATTCAGAAAATACTTAATTCCATCAGTGTAATCAGAGAACTTTTATTTGATTCCATTAACAGAATATACATATGTAATTTTTTAGGTATTTAATTTCCTTAGTTTGTGTGTCAGATCTTTGCTATTATTTCAAGAGGCTTTTCACCACATGATGGTCTTCTTTTTATTTTACTCTGCCTGTGTTTTTCCCAATGTGTTTTCTTAAACATGTTTTTCCTTTTTAATTTTTTTTCACTTAAAATTAATTTTCATTATTTCATTCTCTGTCTTCCAATTTTCTGCTTTCTACTAGTTCCAGTCCTGGTTTTCCCTCCATAATATTCCTATTTCAACTTTCAATTCCCACTTTTGACGTCACTTCTTTTCTGAGAGTATGGCAGCATGCCTGCTTCACTCTTCTTCCTGGAATCTGAGCCTCCTAATTCTGATCTGTATCACCTATTCATCACCTACAGCCCTTCAGAAATCTCATGGTCATTCAACTCCTCTCAAATCACGTGGGCAAAACAAAAGAGGAGAGCAGAGAAGTATGTTATCTTCAGAAACCATTCTCTCACTTCTTTGCTGCCTTGTAAGCCCAGTTACAAGGAAGCAAACCAGAAGATCATTTATTTACATTCTTCTCCACCATGTTCAAACCAAAACATTAGAAAAAAGAGCTTGGCTGACATCCAGCAGCTTGGATTGATGAAAGGTACTTTTGTCAGGTGGTTCATCTGAAAGTGCAAGAGCCTCAGAGTTAAGCACCAAATGGAAATGAACCAAACAATCCCTCTGTGGGCAGAATCAAACTTCCCATGCCTGGCAGGGGAGAAGGGTTATCCTCCTGAGGAGCCTGCCACCCTCCTCATCCCAGCCTGGACACACCAACACTGTGGAGAACAGGCCTCCTCACCACTGGATTAAAAAGTGGTTTAGGATTGAGCAAAGAAGGACAACTCTACCTTGCTGTACAGTTCTGCACAGCACAGGAATATTTCCCAAATACAAATGAAGATTACTGGGCTATGCTGTGCTCACCAACCTCCCCCACCTCCCATCGTGCCTGTGAATCCTGCTACCCTGGAGAAGCCCTTTTCAATTTGGGCATGTTCTGGTATAATTTCATTAAAATTGAGTAAAATATTGCTTCGCTTTCAAGTTAAATCCAGCTCCTCCCATGTGCATTTGGGATCTCAGCATGAGAAATACCTCATTTTATGTTATGAAAAAAAAACCCCACTGGATAAAGGAGCTATGCAATCGCTTGTGAGAATAAAGAAATGAGTATAAACAATGTGAATCTAGTGTAATCCGAAAAATGCTTCTTTTATTTGATGTGTCCAGCACATTTAGTCACCATTCAATTTTTGCATCTTAAGCTGTATTCTGAACTCTCTAACAAAGCCAAACATTTAAATTGGTAGTACAAAAATACAAGATTTTAAACTGAGGAGAAAAAAAAAATATACCTCTTACTGTAATTCTATCTCTTCTTACATACAGTCACAATTTTACTATGAATAAAGCACTTGATACGTTTTAGTCTGTAAAATAAAGACACTTTTACCAACCTCAACATTAAGACAAGTATAATGAATTACAAGAAGAATAAAGCCTTATCAAATATTGTGACAACTCCATTGTGTTTGGAGGCAAAAGTTTTGTGAATGCCACTCCTATAATCTCTTAGCAAGTAAATATGTTAGTTTCATTTATTTACTGGATCACCAGGTGTGTTTTCTTGGAGAAAAAAAATGTTGGAAGTGGCAAAGTAATTTCAGAGTATTTCCTGGTAGAAAAAAGGTGGGGGTGCTCAGGTGAGGATTTTTCCTCTCCCTTTTTTTTTAATGACAAGAGTCACTCTGAAGTCCAACAAGAGAAAACAAACAAACAAAACCAGATTAGCCCACAATACAGAGGAAAACTTTGTGGAAGACAGGTGGATATAAGAGATCAAATTACTTCTAAGGACATAATTGGTGGCACCTATGAAACAATCCAGATTCAGAGGGAGGTCTGGGTCATATGACAAGGGAAATAGAGATTTCTTAACAGTGTTTTGACAATACAAGATCTAACACACCCGAGGCCACAGAGAGAACACAGGCAATGCTCAGTATCTTACCAGTGGTGGGATCAGAACACTTTATGCTGAAAGAAAGACTGAGGAAATGAGAGCCACTAACAAGAACACACTTGGGTGGTTATGCCAAATGAGAAGTCTTCACTGCATCACTCATGATGGCCTCCAACCTGCTCAGCAACACCTACCCATTCTGCTTTCCCTCCTTTAAGCAAGGACACTGGGCTGCCCTTGTGAAATGATGCTTTAAATAAAGTGGAAAATACCACTTATGGAAAATGTGTTATCTGCCATCAGCAACCCCAAGAGAAAGTTATGAACTACAGAGGAGGCTGGGCATCTGACATCAAGAACAATTTGTTTGGAGAGCCAAGGATATGCTTTGCTGTGGCTGTATGATTCTCATCCTATCATTTTTAAATACAGTAATATCTATATATATATGTGTATGCACACACACACACAGACAGACATAAATATATAAAAAGGTTATCATTCAACCTTGCTAGACCATTGTATGAATATGAAAAAAATCAGATACCGCATGATCAGTAGATTCCAAATTCCTAAAGATTCCAAATTTATTCTAACAAATTTACAATAGCATAATTTGAGTTTCATGTTATAAAATATTCTCTTTAAGGAAAGCGAATTTGACCCTGGCTCCCAAAACAAACAAAAAATCTGCTGAAAGTTAAAAGGCTCATAAACAGGCTCTCTGCACATTTTTATGTGGTATTTCAGAATAAGGTGGAAGAACAGCTGGGATAACAATCATGCTTTTCTCAGAAGTCCCAAACTGCCAATAACCTGAAGTACACACAATTATTGTAAACCCACTCAGAATTTCAACATATGTTTTCTTTTTACAAGTCTTGAGGCCCAGGCACACACTCATTCACCAACCAGCAACAACAATTTAAGATGTTACACCCCGTGATTGGTTGCTACTGTGCTCAAAATGCTAGCAGTAAAGAACTGCTTACACAAATAATCAAGAACAGAAATTCAAACTACAAAATCAAGTCTGCAAATGAAGAGAGGTCTCAACAGCAAGATGAAGTATTGTATCATTGATAAAGTGTCATCTAACCTGAATAAGGATTTACATTTTCTGTATCTTAGATACAAAAAATTAAGTGCCCATATTTAGCTAAATCTAAGCTTTCGAACCTGAGCAATTTTCTTAAAAATACAAGACATTCAGTATTATTATATATTACATTCTATCTGTATGCAATTATACCCTAAAGACTGAAACAAAGACATAGCTATAAGTGTGACAGGCTACACTAAAGAAATAATCTGAAAGAAAATTATGTGGTATAAAAATAAAAACCAAAATGTCTTCCATTTTAAAGGAAAGTTACCCTATGCTAAAAGTAGACACAGAATTTTTTTTCCTTAAGGTTCCAAGCTTTTCTTCTACATGTTGTACAAATACCAATAAACTTACCAACCAGAGAAAATATCCCAAGATTGTGCAGAGTCGTCAGAAATTCCATCCAGGAGAAAGGACAGCAGTTTAAAAATCAAATAACTACATTCACTACATTATGAAGTGAATACAAGGCAAGCTGACAGTATAGAACATATCTGTATATATGTATTTTCTACAAATACAGGACATTAATTAAACATGTCACAATTCAAGTTGTATCTTGACTGTCATGAATTGATGATATGTCCAAGACAAAACAAGGGGTGGGTGAAAGCCTTACCACCCCTTGTATTTGGACACTGCTGGCAAAGAGCTGTGTCAAACACTTTTGTGTCCTTTGAACAGTTCCATTTGATTTGCTAAAACTAATCCCAGTGCAGAAAATTAAACATAGCTAATCTTACTAGCTTAATCTTATAGTAAATCAGGCCTTTAAATATTTGGTTGCTTTATTTTGAAAAAATCCAATAAGCAGCCTGATTTGATATCTATACAAACCCAATATATTTGTGTATTACTACCTAGATCCCACAGGATGTGGAACTGTTTACTGCACTCCACTCTTAAGAAAACAGAATTTGCTAAATCACACTTAAAATTCTTAGATTTGAAGTTACATTTTCCTATTTCTACACAGCCTTCTTACCTCTTCTTCCTTCAAACACATCATTGATTTCTCTTAGCAACAGAGACATGTCACTCAGTTGAGACTCCCAGGCCTCACAGAACACCTCAAGATTTTCTTTTGCAATCTTGCTAGATGGATGTAATGCCAGAGTTTCTGCAGCAGAAATTATCTGGACGAAGAACAAAGCATTTGCTCCTGTAAGTCCTAGTACATAGTGTTCCACATGAATTCACAAATGCCTCCCCAGGCAAAACACAGAATTAAACTGCTACTATTGCGTCTTCGTAGCGTATCCATCTGACAATTGCAGGCTTGATGACCTTCCTTGTGCATTCTTTTAGCTCCCACTCAGCACAGAACAAAATTCCTTCTTAGAAATCAATGCTTTGAACAGGTAAACATTAGGTCTCCTAAAAATTCACACAAGTAATTTTTATTGATTTATGTGTAGCAGAAGAGGCCAGCTAAAAGCTGAACATACCTGTGGGCCAGTGACCTGAAAGGTATCCTCTGCATGTATGCAAGTTATCTCAAGGGGCTCAGTTCCAGAAACATGCCTCAGTAAGCGACACATCTGAATTATTTGAAAAAAATTAAAAGAATTGTAAAAAATGTGCATCTATTAGTAGTGAGAAAAGGTGTACATACAAAAATAAGGTGTACAAACAAACACAAAGTTATTGATTGCCCGTTCAAATATTTACCGGGGACTGCACAGCTGGGTGCTACTCAGGGAGAATTAATAATAAAAATGGGGCTAAATCCTGACTTTAAAGGTGTGGAAAAAACCATTAACAGAAAGGAAAGTCTTAATAACTAAAGTAAAACAAAAACAATTTCACATATTTATGTCTGAATAAAACTGAAGGTGAACACACATACAGAACTTGGAAAAACTGTAGAATAAATAAGAACAGGCTTATTCAGCAATAAGCAACCATGTGGAAAATTTAGGTTTTCATCATCATCCAATGGACTAAATTATCTTTGAGCAAATCAGTGCCAAATTAGTTTAGGGAAGTAATACTTTATCCTTCAGCTTTTTTTTAGGAAGATTAAGAGTGAACTTTGGGTTGAAAGGAACATGGAAGTTTTCAGATCAAAAGGAATTTGTAAGTCAGAGACAGCACATATGAAACTTATTGCACATCATCAGATATGCTGCAAGGTCTCACACACAACACTATTTAACCTTCTCGTTATGCCTGAAAAAAAAAAAATTGATGTCTCACTAGAACACTAAATAGCCACAGATCAAGGAGACATTAAAGTTGAAATTAAAAATTCAAAGCATTGTTTTGCCAGTCCTGGAAGTTCAAGGGTGTTGTTTCTGCATATTCATAGTTCTGGGAGGAATCCTCAAGCCCTGCATAGCATAATATTTTAGAAGTGAGTATTGGATACGAAGCAAGTACAGCTGCTGGCATCACCATATTTCAGATCAAAGTGATCTATATTTGTATGTCTCCTGCTGGCACAGGTGCCTCTGCTCATCTGAGAGAGACAGCAACAAAATACATGTGGCTGACATCACCTCCACACACTGCACAATTGTCACAAAGGAGGAAGATTTTCAGCGGCCCTCTTGAATAATCTTTAAAAAATCAAACTCACTGATTAAGAAACTTAACTGTGTATCTCCAGCATTCTTGTATACCAGGATTCAGCTATTGCTGGATGCCTAGTGCTTGAAAGAAAGGGGTGATAATTTCCTCTTGGACCTAGAAACTTACTTTTTTCCTTAATATTTTAGGCCAAATGTCTACATACAGATTGAGTCTAGGTTCATGAGGAGAACTGGGCACAAGTGTAAATCCCTTCTACAACACCTGCATGCCACAGTGACGTATCTGGCTCAGACCCTGACAAGAACAATCCAAAATTCAACAGCATACTAGGAAAATAAAATAAAACTGAAAAAACACAGACCAAAGCCCTCCTAAAGAACACAGATTGATGCAAATCCAGCCACTCATTTTCTAGGTTTTCTATACAATGAAAGCAGGTGTGAACTCACCTCAACAAGCTGTTCTTTCTGCTCTGATAGCTTGCAAGTATATTCTGCTACAGCTTCAAGATTTCCTTCTACTCCCGTGATTTTTAATGCTTTGAGAACCATATGATCTGTATGGTATTTCAGAAGATCTGCTGCCAGAGATGTTGCTGCACTGTGGACCTTGAATAGCATTAAAAGAAGAAGAGATAAACAATGAAACAGAAAAAAGAATCTATTCAATACCAAGTCAAACAAGCTTAAGAGACAGATTAATTTTTCAAGAAGGAAAAACTTCACTGGCATGAAAGCTCCTATAATGCTTGCTTATCATCTGGAGTTTTAGTTTTTCAATTACTATTCAAAGATAAAATCCACTGCAATAAAAAAAAAATAAAAAGCCAAAAAACTCTCCCCACAAACAAGAAAAAACAACTTCACAACCAAATATGGAGAGAAACAAAACAGCAGCTGGGTTATCACACCACTGCTTTCTGATTATGTTACACCTGAGGAAAAACCAGGTGCATGAATCTGTGGGTCACCAAGCTCAGCAGAAGGAAAGCACAATGGCCATCCCACTTCTCCTAAAGAACACACATTGAACTGTGTAAATCAGACTGAAGCCACACGAAACTGAATTCATAATATATTAGAAATTAGAATTATCAGTGATGCAAAGAACAGCTTGAATATAATCAGCTTGTGACAGAGACTTAGGGAAGTATAAAGCACCTTTCCCACAAGGAGATGGGTCTTGAAGGAGTCTCAATCTCCCTACACTCCCAACAAGCAAGGAGAAGCTTCTCATTTAAACACATCTCTAAATCCAGACACACACTCAGACACTGTACTGTGAAGGACCCTGGTTGAAAACAGAATCAGTGACAGCTGCTGCTAGTTCTAGTAACTAGGTTACCTTAAGGTAAACAGCAACCTCTTTAGAAACAGCAGAATATGCTCATAGGACTACTGTGAGTCTTGTAATACTGCACTCACTTTGCTAGCCTAGACTGAGTACAGAACATACTTGGTGTTCAAAAGGGAGTATTTTTCCAGCTCTTGTGAATGTGATGAGCTTGGAACTCACTCCATACAGAAGAGTTTTTACTGGAATGGTATGTTGGGGTTTTTAATTCACTGGATTCCATTTTTACCCCCTTCCTCTGGCAGTACTTCCTGTATATCTAGAATTAGGTTCTTCTGGATTTGTTTTTTAATTTCATAAAGGACAAGACAACTGAATTGTTGCCTCAAAACCTGCTGCAATTGTTTTTTAGAGGGGGAAAAACGAGCTATGACAACCTGTTATAAACTATTTATATAACATTGCTCATATGGCATTAAAAATTAGCACAAATCACTAATCCCAGAAATGAAGTCAACTCTGAAGAAAGGATATCTGAAAGGCTTGTAATGCTGGAGTAGGAACTGGCAATTCTCATTTATATGTAGACTACACAGAGATCACCTTTTCATTAGAGATTCTTTTCATCCTGATCCAAAATAGAAATATACTTCTACTTAATGCTGTCTCTGATCATTAGTGGTAAAATCATCTCAAGAAAGAAACACAACTTCTGTTTCTTCCATAAAAAGACAGAGAGTTAACTACTTTAACAAGGCTGTCTTTTGTTCTCAGCCACTCAGGCTCTCAAAAACATTTTAATTATAGTCACAGTATTTGAATTTAACCAGTAGAAATCCTGACTGATACACTGTGGCACCCCAAGTCAGACCGACAGGAGAGCCTTCAGGCACGTACAGAAGCAGGGCCACGCTGGGATCAATTCAATCACTACACAGAGAACAACAAAAACAACTTAATTCTCTGAACTTACTTCTAAGAGCATGAATCCTTTCTTTCACACAACATATTCCAGCCACCTGTGGCTTTATGATCTATGCAATTAAATAGTCACATCCTAATTTGACTGGGAACTCTTCCACCTCATGCAGCACCTGGGAACAATGTTATTCAAAAAGGATAATCTCACAGCACTGTGAAGTGCTCACATCCCAAAGTGAAGGCCACTTTGGAAAAGCTCTGCTGCCTATTTTCTCCATAATGGTGACCAAATTACAAACCAGCACATAATCAAAGTGCAAAAATTATCTATCCTCCACTTTCTGGAGCCCAACACTCTGCTTAACAGCAGAAGTGCAACTGAACTGAAACAGATTGAAAGCACTGTTCAGATCTTCAGAGCAGCTGCAGGAACTATAGTCCAGAAGGCAAAATTTCTTATTCTGCCTATGGTAAAAAAGGGGAGCATGATTTTTTCAGCAGTTGAGATTTTCCAGTTACAGCAGCTGACAGCTCAGCCCAAGCAAGTTCACCACACTTCTCTAACATCTTTGCACTGCTCTGTGTTGAAACTTGCTGTTCTTAATCTTCATTCCTCCCTCTGCTTAAAAGAACAGCAATTTGAAGCAGTTGAAAAGATAGCTGAATCATGTGCAAATATTTAGGAAGCTGCCAGAAATCAGATTCTGTATTTGCTTCAATTCTGTGGAACAGACAAGGCAGCAATGCTATCCCCACTAGGAAGGGTGAAGACCCTGAGCAGCAAGTGCAGTCCATCCCATGGATCATATGAGGCAGCTATTCCATGTGTGTATGCAAGCTGACCTCAGCATACTTGCACTTAGGAAAAGAACAATGATTTACTACAGACACACACACAGCTGACAACTGCTGAGAAAAAAACCCTGAGTATAAGGCACTGTCATAACATATTTCTGTTAAGGAAATCAATAGGAACAGTTAAATACAAATAAACTGCAAATATAATTTATTAATTTAGGCACACACTAGAAGAAAATGTATTTGCAAACAGTGATGTATGCATCCCCAAAGGAAGTTTGCCTTTACATTTAAAATAATGATTACATACACGGTACTTGCTTCCAAAAACACTTTTTTGGGTTAGCAGTGAACCTATGCAGCCAACAGATTTCTGATCAGTAAGGACAAAGATGATGTAGCTAGATCCATGACCTAATTCTGATTTGGATACTCTTGTCTATTAGCAGGCAACAGTCTTCTTGGGTACAGGATTCTATTTTACAACCTCATTATGAAAAGTATGAAATTCAAACTTTTATTCACCTTATCTTGCTTAAGCTGCACTTACCTCTCTTTTCAGTTCATTCATGCACTGGCATGTTTTTAAAATGGCTACTTCCAAATCTTCCATGAGATCCTTTGTCTTTTGGTTTTGCTACAAAGCAAAGGAAGAGACCAACAAGACATTACACAAAAAACCCAGCAAACTCCACCTTGACATCATATGTCATTAGTTCAAGAAGCTTTAGAAGACAGCCTTTTCTTTCTAGATGAAATGTCTCACTTATGCAGCCTGTCTATATTCTACTAGAGAAATTCTTTTATAGAAACATTTATCACCAAATTAAATCTAAAACCAATTGTGAGGCAATCTGATTGACTGCTTGTGTTCAACAGGAATTTATTTCTAAACCTCACTGAGCTTTTTTCAGGAAAAGGGTTTCCTTGACATCTGCCAGAAATCATCTACCTGACCATCCTAAAGTAAAACAAGCATTTAAGGCTTTTTTTTTTAAATATAAACATATTTTTAAAATAAAGTGGTACCTAAAAATGTTATACCAAATGTTTTATATTGAGTTATAAGATTGGTTCTCCAGAACATTCACCTTGCAATGAAACTGTTGAGCTGAAACCAAATATCCACCTCAGTGAGCTGTTATTATTTTACCTGCTGCTGTGTCTTTAGTCACAACTAGGCTGGGTTATTTATTAATGAAAATTCTTAATGCATAAGCACACATGTGCACGTCCAACTATTTTCACAGATCATACATATGCATAATCTTGAACTAGGCTCTCATTTCTGTATCTTGAAATGTAGCCTGTAAATTATTTACAGGTGATTATTTTCCACCAGTAATAGAACTAAGAAATAACCACGTATCCTGGTTTTGGCTGGGATAGAATTAACTCTCTTTACAAATCTGGCATGCTGCTGCTTCAGATTTGTGATAAAGGCAGTGCTGACAACACAGTGTTAGTTATTGCTGAGCAGTGTTTGCACAGCTGCCTACCAGGGCTAACCAACAACACCAAGCTAAACACAGGTTTAGCTCTTATAGTTAAGGGAGTCTATAAAATTGATATTCTCTATGTGTCTTGTTTGTCCTAACAATATTCTGTATTATCAGTAAGATTTATATGCCCTTCAAACTACACTACTGCATTAAAAACACCTGACAGCAGTACCTGATTCAAAGAGGAAAAAAGGAACAAAAATGCTTTCTCATAAGACACACTCAGTTAAGTAAATATCCTATACCAGGACACATCTGCCTTATTTCAGAGTGTTGATAAGACTTTGTGCTACACATATCCCCAGGAGCAAGGCTGAAAGCAAAGCAGCATCAAAACCAGAAGCTGCATTTTCCATCTTTGCTTTGCTTGTATGTATCCCCCTCTTGCATGTATCTTCTATAATTTTCAAGGAACAAATAAGACAAGTGATAGAGGCAGGTTTAACATGATTCTTTTCTAAAAGCTACCATCTTTTAAATAACGTAAAAAAGGACAAACAAAAATAGCCTTATTGTTTCTCTTCTCTTTCCATAATATTAAAAACTCGGGCAATTTTTTACAATGTTTCCCTTTCCAATAGTTCAACTGTTTCAGTTGAAAACAAGAAAGAAAACTGTGGTCACAGCCATGGGATCAAGACAATTGAAATCTCTGAGCTACTCCACCAAAAGACTTCACTATTTAAGACTGTGCAGTGATACTTCTGTTCACTGCCTTGTTTACACTCTCATCTTCATTAAAATTAGTCTACTGCCATCAGTAGCCTAATTTAGCCGTCAAAGAATCAATGAAGCAATACCACTGAGTAGGGGGAGGACAGAACATATGGAAGCTGCAAAAGCACAGAACAAACTGTGGCTTCCTTGATCAGCTCCCACTGTGAGGAATACACCCAGTTCTCTCTTCCTAGACCAGAAGAAAGACTGCATTCAAAATTTCTTTTCAAAGTAGAGATGAAAAGATTTACTTTGCTAAAAAGCTCTTACAGCTTGCATCCACACTGAAACCAGCTGCTCTAGTTCCATTTTAGCTTGTTTAGACAGCTCCAAAATGTGCTCTCTGTGCTCATGACTGGTATAGGCAGAGTCTGTGAAGTCTTCTGTGTGTTCCAGGATAACTTCCAGCATTGTTGAAAGGTTCTCTTTTGAGAGAAAATAAAGATTCTCACGGAGACCTTCCACCTTATTCTGAAAAAGAAGCACATCATTTCCTTGAGAATTTATGTGATTTAGTTGTGACGCAAATGCAGAAAGCAGATCTATCATTTTACATTTTATTTTTCTCCTTAATGCTTTTTAAAATTACTCCCTTATGTTCAAAGTAATCCAACAATTTCCTTGTGTCCAGACTTGCAGTTTGGGGTTTGGGATGTTTCTTAAAAGTGATAATACAACCGGCAGATTAGTAGCCTCTTATCAGGAATAGCAGCAAATATATTATTGTATTCCTTATCAGGAATAACAGCAAATACATCATTGTTCTACTGCTGTCAATAAAAAGTTTCTAAGTTCAGGAAGTTTCAGAAATTAAATATATGCTCCAATTTTGTTTGATCCTTCCACATCCATGTAATCCATTTTGAGTAGTTTTCTAAAAATGTTTATGTAGCAAATTTAATACTTTGGGGCACTCTCAAAAAACTTCAGTGGAAATTCAAAGAGGGGAAATGGATAAACAAATAAATTGAATCAAAGTGACACACTCAAAAGCAGTAAGCCATGGCTGCTCATTAACTGTTCTTAATGGAGTATGAAATTTAGAAAAGCCTTTATGAGGAAAAAAGTCCATTGAGCTACAATTTCAATTCAGAACATTTCTTTTAAATGACAGTTTGCTCATTTAAATGTTTGTAAGAATATTTTTGTGTGCAGTTTTAAAAACATTAACACTTAAAAAGCAAGAATTCTCAAACAACAACTATTTTAATGGAGGTCTGAGCAGATTCTGATACTTCAGTTTACTCAATATCATCACCTCAACAACATATTAGAGTTCTGAATGCAAACTGATTCAGAAGGAGAGGTGTGTTTTGGCAATGACAATTAAATTATAGTCACCTCTTAACAGGTTCTTTAACATTTTGGAACAGTTATTTAAGTCAACACCTCTGAAGGGATGCAGCTCCATGATTTCAAATCTAAAACCACTTTTTCCCCCACAAAATCCTAGTTAAGAGGTACTTTACTGGCTGTAGAAAACAATATTATTTCTACTCTTACCTTGAATTCTTTGATGCCAGAATATATGCTGATGGGGGCCATTTCACTTTCTCCATTTGGTCTAGAGTCAGTTACAATTTCTATCACCTGTTCCAAAGCTAGTCTCATCCGATGAAAAACTCCATCTTTGTTAATACGAGCAGATTCACAGTCTGGGTGCCTCAGACAAGTCTTTTTAAAGAAAGCACAGTAACTATTATGAAAGAGTACACATGCAGGATATTGAAATGAATGCTTCCTGCTAAGGCAAGTCTAGAAAATTATTTTAAAATACGGAATTCTTTGTTAAACTGCTGTTGAATTCACACTGTTACTCAGAATACAGAGGTTTTCTTTCTTCATTCTTTACACTTATACCCTCCTTTAGCATGAAATCTGAAGTGAGAGAGTGAGAGAGGAGAGTCAGCTCTCCTGGCAGATGCCATGCTTTGTGATTTAGCCAAGTTGTTAAGGGTGCACAAACTCACTCACCTTTGAAGCAGTCAGGAGCATCATAGTGCACTTCTCAAGAACAGCCCTAGATGCTGCCATTCTAGCCTTTTTCTTCTCATCTTTCAAATCCTAAACACAAAAAAAAAAAAAAAAAAAAAGACCCAAATATTACACAGTATCTAAAATATTAACTTGTGAGACTGGAAACAGAACTCTTGCAGGTGAATGGTTGTGAAAAAGCTTTCTAATTTGTGATAACTGCTATTTCCAGCCTAAGTCATGATCCAGAACTTACTTTTCAGACAGACTTCAATTTATACATTTATTCTTGGCTCTATTCAACTCAGATTTCAAAGAAGGAAGATCTCCAAGATATAGAGCATGTTATGTAAACTGTTGCTAATTTTGATACCTTTATCATAAGGCATTATTCATAAAACAGAAAAATGAGGTGAAAAGAATAGCTGACAAGAAGTATTTTCTGAAATGGAGGGGAGGGTAAGGCAGAAACAGAGAACACCTGATTTTCATTACACTGCAGTGGAGGAATGTAAACTAAATCTTTTCTCTACTTCAGTGTTATATTTGCTACATACCAGTAATAAAAAAAGTCTTAACAGGCTGAAAAAGCAATTCCTTGGTATTCCTCTGCTCTGAGTACAGAAACTTATCAAGAACTTTCCAGGGAAAGATGGATGCATTTGCAAAACTGAACTATACCCCCAGCAAAGTTCATCAAAACAGAAGAATTTAGACTCCAAACCAGGATGTGGGGGAAGAGGGCAAGACATGAATCCCTCAATATGCAAGAGGGTCTAACAAGGGAAAGAACTTAGAAAGCTACAGCTACCCTCTTCTCACTGCTCACAAGGACAGCTGAGTGCTGGGTGTCAAACAGGCAACTGAATGGGATGAGCTGAAGCTTTACAAGATGTAATTAATCCTAATATACCCCGGATTAACAAAAACACCCAGATAAATCACAGCAGCAGCCTGTTTTGACATTTTTATAATGTCTGTATTTAGCAACTACTGAAAATCTTTAAGATCAAAATCACATTAAAAACCAAATCAATAAAACTATGAAACAAGAAGACAGTTCATTTCTGAAATTCTGACATTACACACTGATAAATCTGATGGCACTTAAGAATTTATGGCACACTTAAAAATTCTGCGAGGGAATGCCTCCTCTCCATAAAACCAGTAGTGCCACATAGCAGCCTACACACTGTAAACTGAGCACATCAAGAAAATCCTGACACAACTGAAAAAGTGGTAATGTAGCACTCTTGCCAAAAGAGTCAAGTAGGCAAGGAGGGGACAGCAGAAGACCACTTAACACTGAAAATCCAGTTGAAAAGTGAATGCAGTTGAAAAGTGACTATGACTTCCTAATTAATGCATGTTTCTCTTTCAAAGGGCCAACTGCTTCAGGGAAAAAATACTTCAGAGAAAAAAAAGTGTTCACTTCTAAGCAGGTATTTCCTTTAATTTTAAGTAGGTTTCCCAGTTCTTTGACACCAAGCATGCACACATCAACAGTAAAAGGAAACACATGATGCTGGCCAATTTGTTTATACAAGCAGATTTCTGAATTTGGATGGATATTAGGGACTCTGTATATTAACACCAAACCCTGGTTTAGCTTTGAACAGAGGATTGGTTTATCAAGGGAAAGCAACCAGAGCTCACAGCAGAAGTCTTTAGCCTCAGCAAACCCTTAAATTTACATGGAAGTAGTGGGGAAAAAAGCTTCCAGTATGAATGAAAGGCTTTGAAAGAGTAGCTGCCTATGAGAACTAAAATTCATTGCCCTAACATAAGAAGGTTTCAACTTAAACCTAGAAAGGTTAATAATAATAATAATAATAATAATAATAATAACCAAACTCTAGCAAGCCACCAAGCAGATGCTTTATTAGAATCCCTTTGGAGTTTTTTAAGATAATGAAGTCCTTTCACTACACGCAAACATCAAATATTTCTGTCCAATAACAACAGACAAACTCTCTACCAGAGTAATGAGCCAGAAAGGTTAGAGCCAAAAGAAAGTGACTGAAGCCAAAAGACAATGAATATAACACACACCCAGGCTTCTGGAAGACATGCAGGGCAAACAATGCAGCCATATTTCTCAGGCTGAGCTTTAAAATGAAAAGACATGTTTTGGGTGGAGCAAGGAGTGGGCAGGTTCCACAGAGAGGACACCAGCAATTGTTTTGTTTTCTTTTATCATCCCAGAAGAACCCACACCTTCCTGATAACAAGATGAAGATGATAGTGTGCAACATCTCTTAAAACTCCTTACTAATACTTACATTTTGCCTATCTCCAGTTAAATGGGCAAACTCCACCATTTCATTCCCAAACTGGCTGAATATCTGTACAAACTCCTGGAAACTACTGACTTTTTCTAGTTGTTCCATTGTTGCAAGAACCTGCAAGATAAGGGAAAATAAGTACATTATCGAGAACAAAAAACACTATCATTGAACCAGCAGTACTATTATTCACAGTACTATTATGTGTAGTTTAAAATGTATATATTTTGTCACTATTTAAGCATTAATAATTTACCAGCCAGAAATCAAATGTAAGTTAATTATCATGCTGCACTCAAAGCGAGTCATTTGTTGTCAGCCCTCAAAAAATATTTTCCATGCTTCTCATGAAGAGTAATAGTATTGATGGATTCAGCTTCCAGATTCAGGAAAAAATGTGGTTTTAAATTTATTAGGACAGTAAAAAGTGCAGATGATACCCCTGTGTTGTAACTTTCCATTTCAGATGCCTCACTTTTAAAGTCTAAAATCACAGTTACACAGATGTGTTTCGGTCACTCTGCATATTAAAAAAAAAAGGCAACAAAATTCAACAAAACTGAATAAAAAAGTTAAAAATAAGTGAATACATAGTTCTGTACTTTCCATAACAACCTACTCTAACTCTGGAGATTTCTATTAGGTGCATGTAAAACAAAGAACTAAATAAACCCAAGTTGTACCAAGTTCTTACTCAAGATACATAAAAGCATATAAAATCAGCATTTTTTTAAATGTTCAGAAAGACTATCACAGAGCTTATAAATTACTGATTACTGAAGGTATCCTGTGAAGTCACTACATTATGGATTATAACAGAAATTAACATCTGCATTTTTCAGGTTGGACATATACTTGCTAATCTCAAAGTGATCTTTCAAATCCACTAAATGTCTTCAGAAGGGAAACACTCAAAGCAGTTCTGTATTGTCTTTCAGACTGGAGATAAAACACCACATGAAAATTTAACAGACTGTACTTGAAAGGGAGAAACTTCAACTGATTTTTCCTTTTCTATGCCAAAAGTATCTCCCCACAACTACAAAAACAGTGTACCCACCTGATTTTGACAAACTCCCCCTTCCCTGCAACCCTGGCAAACTCTTCTAGAAGTGCCCATTTGTTTGTGGGAGAGCAGCCACTCAATCTCAGCTGTAACCTCAGTAAAGCAAATGTCCCACTGCGACTGGTGTGGAATTCACAGCTTTATCAAGCAATATTAGACTGCAGCAATCTGTCTGAGTATATTATGTTGGGCAATCAGCTCCACAAAGGCTGCAGAAAGGAGGAGTTTTCCTGATTGGGTTGTTGATATATGACAAAGGCTGGAGTGCAAAGGACTTGGAAGGAAGATGCATAAAGATGTGAAAATAGCATCATGGGAGTGGAAGAAGGAGAGTACCACAGGACTGGGAAAGTGAGGATGTAGAAAAGTAAATGTGGATAAAATAGGAAAACGAAAAAGCTAAGCACTTTATCTTCAAAGAACAGATAAAAAGAAATATTAATGATGCCCAACCATTCTAGGTTTAATCAAATGTAGTACTTTATGAGTCTGACCTTGGTTGCAAACAAGTCTGTTACAGTTTTCTGTGTTTCTCTCATGACAAATTTCTTGTCAAATAAAAATTACAGTGAAAGCACACGCATTTCCATTACATGAAATAATTCGAGACATTCCAGGCAGAGCTGACATTCCAAAAAACTGCATAGACAGCTCTAAATTTGTCTAAAGCTTATTCAAGATGCTGATACAATGTACAATATCTGTGACGTCTTCATAATTTTTCGTTTTAAAGCTTTTTCAACAAGAAACATGCAGGTAGTAATGAAGACACATCTATGAATTAAAAGGTTAAAAAATGCAAAAAAACCCAAGGCTTTAAGCTCTTATTAACATCTAAATTAGCACTAGGTATTGCACAGCTACTGCTGCAGGATGAATGTCGCCTTGCAAACAGCAGTGGCAGGCTGACATCACCTCAGGGCACATCCATATTTTGATCCAAAATGAACAATGCAGCAACTCCCCCACTATCTGTCACTTCCCTGCTTATTGTTCTGGCTCTCCTGACCTGATTGGTGACAGTGAGTGGAGCAAAACCTTAAGCTCACCGATGCAGTGACTAAGCCTGTTGGACAATGAAACTGATTTTGTAAGGTAGGAAAGATGTGGGCAGGTATGGAAGAAAATGAATGCAATCCAAGAACACAAGGACAGCATATATGGTGCAGAGAACGTGGAAGCAGGAACAGGATCACTGGGGATAATCAGCCAGAGGCTGGATTCTGGAACAGATCACCATTCTGGAAGATCTCGATCACTTCATTTGTCCGAGAGATTGGATGTCCAACCACTCATCTGTTCTTCTATCCTTAGCCCTTGACTGACTCTTTATTCACATGAGGAAGACTATGACAATGGGGGGAAAAAAAGGTGTTCAGAAATAGGCAGTAAAAAAAAAAGGCAATAGAAGTTTAACATTGGGCATTCAGTCTCTAAGATAAAAATGGAGCTGAGATCTTCTGGAACAGTGATGCACTTCAAGAAGCCAGAATCTTCTCCAGTTGGCAGTGCTGATGATCCTCAGTACTTTTCCATCCTCTTTGCCATATTACACTACACTGTCTCAGGGTATTTGTGTGCACTTCTTCAATCCCTGCCCATATTATCCCTCTACCACCATGTCTCCTACACGAAGAACCTCTTTGCTATCCATCATAGTGGTGTCTGACACACTTTTTGGGAATGTATTCTAAAAAATTACGGCATATGTAAATATTAGGCCTGTATAAAACACTTTTTATTTGATCTGGTTCTGTAGATGTGAATTGCTCTACTGGTACCACAGACAAAAGCAGACTTTCCCAGATGTGCACTATACACAGAAAGGAGAATGCAGTAAAACCCAGGAGATCCCAAAGATCAGCTGTGTCCTGGGGGGCACCAGCACAGCACTGACAGCTGGGCAAGGGAGGGGATTGTCCCACTCTGCTCTGCACTGGGGCAGCCTCACCTCCAGTGCTGGGGACAGGTCTGGGTGCCAGTATAAGAGGGATATTGAACCATTAGAGAGTGTCCAAATGAGGGCTATGAAGATCGTGAAGGGCCTTAAGGGGAAGCTGTATGAGGAGCAGCTGAGATCACCTGTTCTGTTCAGGAGGAGACTGAGGGGAGACCTCATTGCAGTTACAACTTTCTTGTGAGGGGACAAGGAGCAGCAGGCACTGATCTCTTCTGTGACAGGACCTGAGGGAATGGCCTGAAGTTTTATCTGGGGAGTTTTAGATCGGCTATCAGGAAAAAGTTCTTCACCCAGAGGGTGGTTGGGCACTGGAACAGGATCCCCAGGGAAGTGGTCACAGCACCAAACCTGACAAGAAGCATTTGGACAGTGCTCTTGGACACATGGTGTTACTCTTGGGGTGTCCTGTGCAGGGCCAGGAGTTGGACTTGGGCCCCTTCAACTCAGGATATTTTATGATTCTGTGCCTACGGCAGTCAGAATCAGATACACTTGGGACTATGAGATTGCTTGAAATGCTTTCAAAATTAAATGCTGCATCTGTGCTTACTATATTCACATTGGTGTGTATACGACAATGTTTTCATACATACTTAAAATTACTAGAAACCTAGGCTGGTCATGAAAGGATATATCCTTCCTTACCCTTTTCATGATATGTGTATTTGCACAGTTGCTCCATAGCCTAAACCTGCCACTTTTGGAAAGGTAAATTAATTAGGATTACTGCATGGCTGCAGACGACAGGAGAAAAGCAGCAAAAGGTATTAAATGCACCATTCTGGTCTTCAGTGCAAAAAAAGACCAACGCTGCAAGGAACATCAGCAAACTGATATTGATAACACTGCTGCCAACTGAATCAGCCGCTGGGAGAAGAAATGAGCATAAAGACAGCAGATCAGTGCTGACAAGTCTAAAGCCAGAGAGAAGCAGGTAATTTCACTGGTTTTGAATCCTGGACTGAGCTAAGTGCCTTGGATCTACGTGCTGCAAAACAGAGTCCAGTGGGTCTGGAAAGTAAAATGGGACAAAGGAAGTGGAAAGAGGGGCAGTGCTCTGGATTACAAGTTCAGAATTAATGGAAACCCCCAGGCCTTATCAGGTTCTCATTTTTCAAATAGAGGATTTTTCTATTTTTGTTTTAGCACATTGTGAAGAAAAAAATGGAAGAATATCCTACAGGCAGGACAGTGAAGTCTGCACTGAATGAAACAGATTATATTTGAGGTTAAATGGGCCTTCATAGAATTATTTAAACCAACCAGGTAGTTTCATCCTAAGTTTCAAGACCTAAGTTAAACTGCACAAAAACCTTTTCATCTGTAAATCTCACTTCACTAGCACAGACATTTATGTGCATTCCTCACAGTTTTTTGCCTAGATCCCATAAAGCTCTCCTTGTCTTGATCCTGACAGAACAAACATCCTGTCATTAGCAAGCAGATGATTTATTGACCATTTTATCAACAGACACACTTTTCCCCTCACAGCAAATTTAAAGTTAAATAAGCAGTAACACAGCATCTTCTCCAACACAGTAAGTGAATAAAGCAATGTGGCTGACATAAAATGCAGAATCAATGAAAATTGTTATTTTAATCCTACTGACTGAGAGCCATCCCTTTTCAGATACCTGCTAAGTAAACAAGTATGTGCAAGACATTCATTTTATCTCTTTATTTTATAATTACTCTAGAGAGACAATGACAATATCACATTTACCACCAGTCTTTTGCACTGAATACAGGTGTTAGTTAAACAGAACAGAAAAGAAGCTACAATACCTTGTTCCTGGAAGTTATAATTTGCTTAATAACAATTCTGTCTGCTAACACCAACACCTTTGTGACAGAAGAAAGCAACAACCTTGCAGCTTTCACCACACCCGTTTTGTCCGTAAAGATTGTTATGTGGCTGTCAGATTCTGGATGATCCAAGCTAGCCACATCTGTAAGCTGTGCAATTGTTTCACCTAGAAGGAAAAAAAAAAATAAAGTGACTTTCCATACTTAGAAGAAAGATACTGGGCTATTAAGCATTCTTAACTTTTACTTTTGAGGAATAAGACAATTTCAGAGCTATCTACAACTCTTTTTATTTCACTTTACTTCCTTCGACTGACTGCTGGTGGCACCCTCTCCATATTTAAATCTGGATTACCATTCACTACTACCTTATTCTTCCATCTGTAACATACACTAATTTCCTTACAGTCATCTACAGCTTTTTGAGCGGGGAGTGATGGGAAGAATTAGGGAGTGTGGAGGGAGAAAACATTCATGGGAGGTATTTTTCTGATTTTGATAGCCAAAGTCACACCAGTACCCACACTTGCAGCATCAATGCACTGGAAGAGTGGGATGCAGCAAGGCAGAAAGAACTATAAACTCCCCTGCACTTTGCAAATTTCAATTAGCATTCCCATAATTTATAGGTTTCCTACTCCTGTAGAAGTCTCCAGGCATGAATAATAAAGAGATTCCAAACATAACTTTACAATTTGGATGACTGAAGCATTATAGTGAGACTACTGCACTTTACATTCAAAGGAGGACCCCTAAACAGGGCACTGTCAGAGACAGGAAAGGAAAAAGAGGCAAGGAAGTGCTGATTTTGGTTCAGCACCATCTTTTTATTCAACTTGGATTTAGTTAAATAGACAGTTAAAAAGGCTTAATTGACCACTTTTATTTTTTATGCAGGTAAAAACTCTACATCCACTGCAGCTAATGGATTTCCTCATCTGAGAAAGAAACACAGACCATATCCAATTGAATCTTCCGGAGTACCTTAGATAGTAGTGCAATACAGGAGAGACAGAGCAATTTGTTAGTCTGTAACCAGAGAAGGGCTGCTGGGAGACTGAGCTCAGGCAAGCTCTGAGACATGAGTTTTGTTAGCACGCAAGAACAGATGACCAACCTAGAGCTGACTTATAGATCATCCTTAAAGATAAAATCTAGGAAATTTGATCAAATTCCCTATCATCTTCAAAACCTCAACAGGCAAAATAACTCCAAAAGCCTGATAAAGCCAGTGCTCCCATTTGAAGAACCTGAATTATTCTGTACTCCAGAAATACCACACACTCTAGAACAAGGAAGGCCTGGCAGTCCTTCAAACCACAGAGCTCCACATTTCATAACGCTTCTCTCCTCTGATAATTGTAATCCCTTGGGTTCTTAAGCTGCCCAAATAGTATTGCTTTATGGAAAGGAACTTGCAGTACATTTGCTGGGACCAGGCCAGGTCACAAAAGACATGCTCCAAATCATCAGTGACCCCAATACACTGTACTATGGTACAGTCTGAGACAGTGAGCTCCACAGCTGAAGGCCCTGGAAATGGATAGAAGCAAGAGGACTTAAAGTAGAGCTGCAGCTCAAAGAGTGAGGGGCAGCCAGAGGCACTCCCAGTGAAGCTCCAGGACAAGTCTCCAGCCAGGTAAGGAGATCATTTGACAGTAAAACACATTGGCCATTGCCTTCTCCATAGTACAATTCATTTCACTTCACACCAGTCTCTACATTTTCACCTTTGTCAGCAGATTAACCTATTTCTGGGACCTCACAGTATCTGTGATAACATAAAATGCTGTAGAATCCCCCAGAGAACAATTACAACAAATGCAAAGTTCTTTTGGCAGCCAAGAAAGGATGCACATCATTATCCCATTTTTCATGCTATGGGATTCACCTTCTTGAGGATGAATCAAGTCATAGGTGAAGCAGCTAGTCATATAAAGAGTTACCAGAGAACACTGAAACACCTGCAACATCTGCCTGCTAAAAGCTCCAGACAGCCACAGAAACTCAAGACTTCTGGTAACAGAACAAAGGCTTCCTTCTCTGCCTAGAGATCTGCAACTACAGGGACAGGAATTAAGGCCTGGGAGTAAGCTAAGAGGAACAAGACCTGTTAGGGTAAAGAGATGGAGCTAGGGAAGCTATACCCAGCTGGGCATACACCAGTCCCTAAAACACATCTGAGCATGTCACTGCAATTCTTCTATCATGACTGAGAGATTATGACAATTGGGTGATATTTCCAATGATAGAAAGACAATTGTCACATCCATGTCAAAGAAGGTTAACAAGAAAAAAATCAGATTATTGTGGGCTAGTCAGCCTCACATCAGCCTCCAGGATTACCACAAAATAATCTTGGAAGACATTACCACATTAAGCTGAACAAAACAATCAGGAAGAGCCATCACAGACCTGCCAAGGTGAATAGTCCCTTATTGATCTGAGTGCCTTTTACCATAAGATGACACCGTTTTTAAAAAAGGAAGTAACGAATGGTGTGCATCTCAGCTTCAGCATAGCCCCTGCCAGGATCTCCCAGAGTTTCCTTACAGCTTCATCTAGGTATATGGACTAAGTGAACAAAAAGGTGGGTAGAAAATGAACCTGACCGTTGGGCTTGGGGATGCTGATAACACGTACAAAGTTCACTGGGCAGAATATTTCCAGTGGTGTACCTCTGGGACTGACAGGAGTCATCCAAACTATTCCCTGGATGATTACTCAGCATGCTCAGCAAGTGTGTGAACAATACCAAAGTGGGGGGATGTCTGATACTGAGGAGGGCAGGGCGGCTAGACAGAGGAACAGGCTGAAAAAAAAAGATCTGATAGAAAATCTCTGAAATCTAACAAGGGCAGTAAATACCACATCTGGGCCAGGGTAACACCACTCAGCCCTACATGCTGAGATCAGATGTCAACAGGGAATCTTTGTAGGGAAAGACATGGGGGGCAACAAAGAGTTGAACAGGAGTCAGCAATAATGAATGGCCAGCTGCATGTGGAAGGCTGCAGAAATGATTCTTCCCTTCCTTTTGGCACTTGTGAGGCAGCATCTGGAGCACCATGTCCACTTCTGGGCTCCTCAACACCTCAGCTGGCACACAGGAGCGAGTGATATAAGGGGAGAGCGTGAAGGGGGGAAGTTTATTCTGCCCCAAGAAGAGAAGGTCAGTGGCAGAGCTTTCTGTGCTCTACATCTATCCCCCTAGGGGGCAGCTATGGAGACACAGACAGACTGATCCCTGGTGATGGAACAAGATGTAAGAAAATACTTTCGCCACACCAAAGGTAGTCAAACACTCTTATGTAAGGGCAGAAGAAAGAGGTAAGAAATGAGCAGTGTACAAGAAATTGCATGATCTCCATTCTTGGGAGTTAAAGTGACCCTTACAACTTCAGTTATTCTGTGATTCCATTTATCCATTTAAATTTCCATTTTTCAGCCTTCTTCATTTAGCTCTCTCTGTACTAAAACCAAAGCAAAAATAGCAGAGAGCTATTTATTACTTTAATTTTACTCCACGTCTTCCTTTAGGGCTATGTAGTCAACTGGCAGAGAATACTGGAAAAGCTATGACACTTATTCCTGACATGTGCTTTCTCTTTTAAATTAGCCAGTCTTTCCTAGTTTTTAGACAGAAAAAGAAGACCAAAAAAAAAAAAAAAAATCACAGATGGGCATCTAAAATGTGCTTCTGTAAGTTAAATTCCACTACTATACTGTCACTGTAAACATTGACACAGTGCAAGAATAATGTTACCCAAAATCTGCTACATGACCCTCTGCAGTGTTTTAGGATTCTATTTTGAGTCAATCAAATTACAAGGTTTATTACAAGGAAATAGTCATAACAAGTCTGAAACATTTCAAATCACTGATTATACCCTTCTCAAGAAACAGATACAACATCTGTCATCCTTCAAAGTCTCTGCAGAATATGCAATTGATTTAAAGACTCCCTACTCTTCTCAGAAATTGAGATGCTTAATGTTCTAAATCCTTTTGTGCTGAAATCTTTTATGCCTTGTAAAATCTCCATTCCTAAGACACAATCTAATTTATTGGCTAAAAAGAAGTATGAACAGCTCTACCAGATTCCCTGCCCTAAAGAGAAAAGGCTTTCTGCTGTCTATGCCCTCAGAACATAGGGTTCATTAATACAGAACATATTCTTGGCTATAATTGTCCAGGAAATTTTTTTGCTTGCTTGGGAACACCAACGTTATTAAAAATGGCACTTGAGTAATCATGATCAGAAATGGAGTTCAGAGGACGTTTATCCACTCAAAGGACTTTGTTACTGTGTCCAACACTGAACAGTCCACAGAGGCACTACTGGCACAAAAAACCCTCCATCAAACAAATAACCAGGAGCAAACATGTTTGCTATACTGAATTTCCCATGTAAGCTGCAAGTTAGATCTCAAATGCAGGGAATAAGAGAGCCATGCCAAAGTAAACGTGAGGCTGACAGAAATGTAAACAGGCCATATCTTCACTCCTCTAGACTGAGGCTATTACTGCATAACAGGAAATAAAACTTTCAATACAAAAGAACTACAGTCTTTTGCTGGGATAAAGTATTGCAGACTATTTTTAGGTTCTGAGCTCCTCCTGCATACAGTGATAGGGAGAAAAAAATACTTAACCACAGCATAACTGGCAAGTCAAAAAATAGAGATTCAGACTGCACTGCTCTTCCAGCAGCTGAGATTATCGATGTGAACTTTGGCAATTTTGTCTTGTCAGCATTTTACTTGGATCTCTGAAGAGAAAACACATGCTCCACATAACAAATGGAATGTTTTAAAATTAGGACACTTCTGTTTGCAGCCAAGTTTACTGGAGCAACTAGAATTTTCAGTCTAAAGTTTATCCAGAATAGTCCTTCAAATCACAAGAACAATCATTCATCAGCAGCGTGTTTCTAGACATGGTGACTCATTGTTGAGAGATTTTCAGAGGATTTCTTACAGCACCATGCCCAATTTCTAAGCTTCTTTTTTTCATTTAATCACAAATAATAGTATGAACTGCATCCCCAAAGTCTGAGGCCAGAACAGCGATCCAACAAGATGTACACCAGTTAGGTCAGCAAAGACAAGTTCTTCAGAACTCTGAGGTAATTTCAAAGATAAAAACCAAACAGCCACCGAAGCCTCCTTTTTAACTTAACAGATCAGTTTCAAGTACAGTAACCCACATCTTGGAGCAGAATATTGCTCCATAATGCAGTAATCAAGACATGATAAAGGGTTGTTGAAGGGTCATTTATTTGTCCCCACAACAGAAAGACAAGATTGTCTCCCTGAAGCCACAGCAAGCAGAATGTGTATCACACTTGCAGGCTCATCCACCTGCTCAAACTGGGAAAGCTTCAAGTAGAATTTTCCATAATCCAAAAGTATTTGAAAGCAAAAACAAAACCTCACCCCACTAACAACAAAAGGAACAGTCTACTAGATGTCATATTGAAGCCTTCACTGCAGATCTAAGAATATGTATTCACTGATGGCCACTGAAATATTAGGCAAGGAATAGTATTTAGTATCTAGGAAAGCAGTTTTTAGCACGACACTGGCATTGTCTTACAGCATCAGAGAATGCAATTCCCTATCAGCCTAAACAGAGTCTTCTGGGGGAAGAAGAGTGACAGCAGGCAACTCAATTATCCACACTTCACATTCAATTCATACACACAGCAAGTTTGCAACAAAACTTGAATCCAGCAAAAAGGCAAGCACAATATGATTTTCAGTCTAGTGAGGGGAGTCATCAGATGACTGATGTGAGTCATCTTACTGAGTCCTGATGAAATATGGGCTGACACTGACCTTCATTCAGACACTGAGATTTGGAATGCAGTGACCTCAATAGCACAACACTCAAATAACTTAAAATACTCCACTGTTTTAACTTGGCAGCAATAAACTCTAAAGTTGTACTCCCAACACTCTGCTCTTTGTCTGTCGTAACATCATAAAAAAAGAGCAGTCAGGTAATTCCTTGAGGCAAATGATCCCATAAAAATCAAAGCCAACACACAATTCCATTCCCTATTCGTAAGATGACAGCAATTTAAGTAAGTGACAAAATCAGGGAACAGATCAGGCCTTGAATGAACCAGCAGAGGAAGGTTAAGCAATTAAATAATAAAGTTCTTACATTATGCCTGACACTAAAAATAGCGTGCCAAAAATGGCACCAGTACAATTCCATGAGTAACTCCATACCTGCTCTCCTTGCCTCGATGCAAGCAACGCTCATTTCCTCCTTCAGCTCATGGTTTTCGTTGGCGATGGCCTCACCCACAGTAACAAATCTCCCCACTGCCAGGTTAACGGCCTGGCCCACTCGCTGGATTGCCTGCAGGGTCTTGTCGGAGCGCTTTGGTTTGTCCTTATGATTAATAAGAGTGGTTATCTGCAAGCAAGAATAGTTATTTATTAATTATTAGAACATTTTAACTTTAGTACTAAAGGCAAGTTTTGAATTGAACTCAATAATAGACTTCTACAGTACTTCACTAATAAAATTCAGTTTTGTGTTGTGTCACGAAGCATCATTTAACTTCTCAGAGAAAGAAAACAACATTGAAGTGTAATTAAGGTTGCTCATCTGCTCAGTTTATCTCACATGAAAAGAAGGATTTTTTTTTTTATTCCACTCCCCATTTGCAGTATTAAAATAAACTGTCCTGGGTCTTAACAGCCTTTCACACTACACACATAGCCCTCCCCTAACTAAAATATCCACCATACTCACACCTTAAACATCCTCAATTACACATGTTTCCTAGAATTTAGAAAAATGTGGCTATTTTGATACAAGTTATCAGTGAAACAATTTGTGAGGACATTCCTACTTTGAACTCCTGACTTGGCTCTTCTGCCCACTGCAAAGTGCTATACATTCCCTCTGGAATCACACGGACTGGAGAACTGTGAGATCCGTGTGCTGCATGCTGGCTATAGTAGACTGAAGATTTGTCCAAAACAACAAACGTGAGGAAACAAAGACATCCTTTCCCCTCACAGAGGAGAAAGGCAGGATTGCAGAAGCACCTTCTGAACCAAGGCATCAGGTAAACATGAGAACAGTAAGCAATCCTGCAACTCACAATTAACTGACTATAAACTGCATTACAAACATGAGCTTTACATTTTTTGCTACAATTATTTTCCAGTGAGAAGCAGGAGAGAAATTATACTCTGTAGATGCTAGCATCCTAAACCAGCATAAAAACCCAACAAAAATAGTCCTGCCTGTCCTTGTCTCCCACTCTCATGTTTGCAATGCATTTATCTGATGTGGGTTAAACCTCAGCTGTGGAGGTGATGCTTGCTGTTTTAGTTTTTCCCATTATCAGGTCCCCAGTCTGGTTCACTGCACACCTTCATGAATATTTTTGATGGCAAAAGGGAAACAGTCCAGCCTGAGGAAAGATGGGCAGGAGCACTCCTTTCAGAGGGAGCATAGTTTAAAACAGCCACAGAACTCCACTGAAAGCCACATCCCCAGGAGCTCAAAGATGTCTGTTTAAAGAATCCCGAAATTACCTGAATTACCTAAATGTCTGAACATCTCAGCTCTATCAGCTTGATCACAGATGTCTTTGCTGCTCCTCAAGAAGACATAAATCATCATTCACTCATTCTCCCACCAGTCAAGCCTGTGGTGGGACAGGAGCATACAAGCTGTACCTGTAATGCTCACTAAAAATTCAAGGGCATAGCAGAAACTGTTCTGCTTCGTGATTTGATCAATGCCCAAGGTTTACCCTTCAGATATCACTGAGACATCTCTCTGGAGGAAAAAAAAAGAGTGGTGTTGTTTAACACCTTGCTGAGGCTGGTTTGGAATGCCAGGAGCTGGTTTAGCCAAGTTTCCAGTATTAAACTCTCTGCAATAGGAAATATCAACACTTCATAGAGTGCTTTGCACACACAAGAAAAATCAAAAACCCAAAACGCCTGAGAATAGTGCTGCCCTATGGAAGAACTGCTATGAGATGTAAGAATATTTTATTCTGGTACAAAACATCAGTACAGAAATGCATTGTCTGCCCACTGCCTTCTTATACACACCCTACTTTTCCAATTTGTATCTAAGCCACAAGATCTAGAGGAAGGCCATACAGTTCATTCAACAAATCTGTCCCTGTAAGAGACCCCTGAATGACCAAACTTCAACTCCGAAGCCTATGAACCTTGGATACCTTTCCAGTGAAAAGATCTTCTTACAATAAAAACAGAGCCTTAATAGAGAATAAACTGAGGAAACCTCTGAACATCTTCAAATTCATTTTAAATGAGGAATGACATTCCTCAAAGCACACAATTACCATCACTTCAGTGGAAATTCAGACCTACGTGAAATTCATGGTATAAACAACTGCCCTACGCAACTCTCCTGAATTCCTGCAGGTAGGTACTTCAGGTATACAGAATTTTAAAAATACCTGTCAGCAGCTAATCTAACAGTGCCAGCTGGTGAATTCTTGAATAGGCATGGCTAGCAAGCCAACTGAGAGGATTAGTACAAACACTGAAGAAAACCAAACTGAATAGAGGGTCACAACTTTGTTTCTTCAACTTGTTTTTAAGTAAACAGCAACCCATACTGGATTAGTATTACATTCATACAGTTATTGACTTCTCAGAAGTACATGTAAAATAACACTGGCCTAAAACAAACTGCAAGTTTACATACTGGCTGCAAGTTTACCTCCCACAACATTTTACACCAGTAGAAGTTTAAACATGTTCTGCATAACCCTGAAAAAAAATGCATATGCAAATAACACTGCAGAGTGAAAGGAATCCCACTGTCTCTTACAAATCATCAAGGGCATTTATTTTAATTCCCATGTTACTGCAGAGGTATGCAAATAATAAAAACCATAAAGATATTACAGCTTAAATTCCTTTGTTGAAGTCTTACAAAACACTCTCAGGAACATGAGTGCCTTTTACAATTCTATCATTTCTTTTGCACTCTCTTCAGAGGGCATCATAGTTTTTGCAGCAAAAAAACACAATCCCTCTAGTCCCCCAGCCAAGGTTAAACAAGAATAAGCAGCTGTTTTGACAGGTCTTATTACCAGTGTCATCTTAACCTCATGAAGTTCAACAAGGTCTTATACTGGGGCTGGGACAATGCACAGTACCAATGCAGGCTGGGAGATGAATGGATTGGGAGCAGCCCAGCAGAAAATGACTTGGGGGTATTGGTGCAAGAAAAACTGGATGGGAGTAAACAATGTGCTTGGATCCTGGGCTGCCTCAAAAGCAGCGTGGCCAGCGGGCTGAAGGAGGGGATTCTGCCCCTCTGCTCTGGTGAGACCCACCTGGGGAGGGGTGTACAGCTCTGGGATCCCCAACAGGAGGAGGACATGGACCTACTGAAGACAGCTCAGAGGAGGGCCATGAAGATGGCCAGAGGGATGGAGCACCCTCTGACCATGACAGGCAGAGAGAGCTGGGGTGGGTCAGCCTGCAGAAGGCTCCAGGAAGACCTCACAACAGCCTGTTAACATTTAAAGGTGGCTTAGAAGAAGATTAGGGAAGACTTTTTACCAAGGCCTGTAGTGAAGTAGAGAGGTTGACATTTTAAACTAAAAGAGGGTAGATTCTGACTGGACTTCAGGAAGGAATTTTTTTACCATGAAGCTGATGAGGCATTGGAACAATTTCCCTGAGCCGTGGAAGCCCCGTCATTTTATGAGTTCAAGGCCAGGTAGTTTGAACAACCTGGGGCTTTGAGCAACCTGGTCTAGTGGAAAGTATCCCTACCTACAGCAGGAGGGTAGAACTAAATGGTCTTGAAAGGTCCCCTTTAACCCAAACCATTCTCTGATTCTATAGCCTACTCTAGAGACCCACTTGAGTGGCTTGTATATGAAGATTAAACTCAACCTACAGTTATACACAGCAACAGAGGCTTTGAAAATACCTCCTGGAATAATGAATTTTTAGCTGGGCAATATAATTTCTTCTCAGACTGGCTAACTTCAGGCCAGTATAGTAACTATAATATTGGAATGGAGGAAAGTGGTTGAGCTCCAAACTTTTTTCAGATAAGTTCAAAAACTGTATGGATGGACAGCTAAAAACCACCATTGTGAGCTAAAACAACCAAAACAGAAGTTGGTCAAGGAGTTTAAAACATCATGGCAAACAGCTTCGTGTAACACCTCTTTCCAGCAGGATCAAATTATGTAGCAAATGTAGCCTATACTGATATAGATTTGCATAAGATGTTGCCTATAAAAAACTAAGTAGCAAACAGCCCTGAAATAGAAGTAGGTAGGCCATGATAAAAGAAAGAGAAAGATATGAAATATTGATCAGTTAAAGAAAAAAGGGCTGGGTTTGGTTCTAGAAACTTGAGTTACACATAAACCAAATGTAATAATGTCAAAGGCATGAGGAAAGCTGTTCAGATACAAGACGGGCTCCTCATAACCTGCCACCTGCAGAAAACACTGCTCTACAAGCAATGAAAAAGATTTTTCAGAATTATGCATTCTCATTCCCTCACAGAGTGCTAAGAGTGACAGGTACATCCTCCATGTCAAGTGAAGTTTTGAAAAAGCAGAGGTAATGGCAACTGCAGTTTAGGATTCTTTTTCAAGACTTAATTAAGTTTGTAATTAACAGTCAGGGTTAAAAAAAGAACAAGATCTTAACTTAGCAAGGAGAGGAATTTTACTAGTACATTAAGTGACAAACTGAACGAAACTGTGATGCTAATAAGCAGGGCAAAGACTATTTAACCATTCCAGCACTCAATAATAATTGCCTCAGAATACAAATACAACAGGGAGCATTAATGGGCCAATAAGAAAGACTTCTAAAATAAAAAATATGCAAAGGTTTTGTTCCTTAATTTTAAGCAATGCTTAAAACAAAGATAAAAGATTAGACAAGTTAAAGGGAGAAAAGGAAAGACCCAGAAGAAACTTAACAGGGAATTTTCTCCGCAACAACCAACCAAAGAAACCCTAAGAGCCTATAAAAACTGAACTAGTAAAACTTGCAACATTTCAGATGTTTCAGATTACAAGAAATTGCTTTTCCCCCTGCAGTCCATCCAGTTGGAACCAGACTAGAACTATTACTGTGTTTTAGGTTTTTTTTTTTAATGAAGGAAACATCTGCCAAGTCCAAGAACATCATCTAAGGCCTCCCTCAAGCTTAATACCTCCCAAATATTTAATCTGTTATATTCTGATCATGTATTTCCCAGTCACCAACATCTGTGATGTTTGGACAGGAGTTAGCAGCTGAAAAGATTACCTGCAAGTCTCTTTGAACAAGAGCAATACGTTACATGCTGTTTACTTAAGGATTTACTGATCAGGTCCTAGAAAGGAAACAGTCCTTTTGATGGTACTCACCCTCTGTTTAATGAGAGCTCTC